TGTATGCTATGTTTTTATGCTGCTCGCATATTAATGAACATGTATTTTGCTCTGTGCTAGAGACATCAGGTATATCTATATGTACATATTTGGGTGTTTGTATATGCACACACGTATTCATATTTGTCTTTGTGAAGGGGTTTGCTTTGTCTATCTTCAGATATTTGTCTTCTCTGAAACGTTGCTTGAATAGTTATTATTTGAATGGAAGCTCAAACTTTAAATCAGATTATCCTTTGTTGTTCCTTTGATGAATCTCTATATTGTCAATTTAAAAGTCTATATACTCAAACACTATTTATTTTTTTCCTGTCATATAATAATAATTTAGGAGTCGATAAGCAGGTAATTTATTTCTTTAGACATACAATCCTTTTTGTAATTATCATAATCAAAACACAATTAACTCGTTGGCTTTACCTTTACCTTTGCCTTTGCCTTTACCTTTCCCTTTGTGTATATTTATTTATTTATTTCCCTTATAAATTGGTATTTTCTTACTTGTCGAGCAATCTCCTCTCCTTTCGTACTTTTAAGCCAAGGAAATACGTATTTATTCATCCGGGTCATTCATTACCAACAAGCAATTTATCACAATTGCGTGCGGCCTTTGACAATTTGGCTTACACGACGGATACTTAATGCTATTGGTCTGTGCAATATCCCTTTATAATATTTATTCATTTAAATTATTTAAGATATTTTCAACGCGTCGTCGCTGTTAGCCTCAAGTAAAGGCCACCGTCCTTGGACCGTGACCCTCAAGCAGGTCGTCTCAACGGAAGCACGATACGCTTACAAAATGTTGGCTCAGAAAATGTTTATCCTTTAACTTCAACTTGGACTGCGACTCCTGTCAAGCAATTCGGCTTTTGCGTAATGCGTTCATTAAGCTCCTTTTTCTTCGGAATTTTCAATTCATTTGCATGACTGGCAGTTGGGTTTTCTAGCCATAATTAGTTTTGTGGCGACATGCAACATGCAACAAGCAGAGACCAAGACTGCAAGTCATTGCAAATGAGAATGCCGCTGATTGCGGAAAGAGGAAGCACGCAGAGAAAAGCGCAAGGCCAAATTATAGAAGATAGCATAAATAACAAATTCACTGCACAAGTTACAGTCGTGCCAAGACAACAACTAGCTATAGGCAGGAGGTGCGGTCAGTGGGGCGTGTATGTCAAATCAACTGGCTTATTAACCACAACAAACGGCAAAACAATTTCCGAAAGCCAAAGTCGCCAACTTGATGACCCACTTCTCTAGCCTAGCACAAGTAACGGATTCCGTTGCAACTTTGCCGAAAGTTGGCTAAAAGACAAAACTTTGTGGATTAAGAACTAAACATAGATTAGACGGCTTGATGACGGAAAAGGCAGGATCTAATCAGAAATTCTGTTAAAATGTTTGTTATTTCGTTATTAATCTAAATAATAGAAGTGATTAGTGTTTTAAGTTTATTACTTTTAATGGCTTAATTATAAATTATTTACTACAAATTTAGTTTATATAACTATAGAATATATTAGAGATTTATTTTATTTTTATTAGAATTATTCATATTTTTATATATCGCCAAATAGTTGAACCAAATGTGTGAAAACCTAATTCAGCATTTGGGCATGCACACATATTTTAAGCTATATATTCACATTTTTGCAATTCCAATCCATTTAACTAACCGAAAAGATAAAACCAAGACAGTACCTTAGATTTCCCACAGAAATTGACAGAGCTGTCAGTCCTGCACTGACAGTAAATGAAGTACTTTTAATTGGAATTGAGTTCATATGTGTTTGTAGAAATTCTAGATCCGAAACAAAAAAAGCCTTTGTGAATAAGTTGTCTTTGGTTGCAACAGAGAAGTTCGATGAATTCCAATGTGTGGTCAACTGGACAAACGAATGAATCTGGTTAAAAAAAAAAGGGTGAGGTTTGGGGTTGTGGCAACCGACACTAACAATTTAAGGTTTTTTAACAAAAGTGAATATGGCAAGGTGAAGATTGTTTTACGGGCAGGAGCAAAAACAATAATTGAATATTTAGATTGCATACCTAAGGACTTCTATTAAAAGCTTTTGCATTGTAAGGCGCTTAAGTGAAGTGAAAAGGACTTGGGAAATTGCAGTAAAATGTGTCTCAGAGAAGTATTTAAGTTTCCCATTGTGCACAAAAAGTTAAAGAAACAAAATAAACATTTCCAAAAGGCTCTGTCAAATCACTGCAGACAAACAAGTTTATAAATGTGTAAGCTCAAATACCCACAAAAAGAAAGCTAAATTATTTAAATTACAAATTCAACAACAGCCCCAAACAACTCCCACATTGACACACAAGACACCGAAGAACAGTTAAAAGAAAAACAAATTACTTTTAAATTAAATGCCTCATTTGCAGCATTAATAATTCATTTGACTCAACTCACAGGCAATTAAGAATGCAGATAGTAACGGAAGAAAGAGCACATACAATAAAAAAAAAACTGTGAATGGTCTGAGGCTGAGAAGGGCTTAAGCAACCTCAAACGTTACATAGCCAAAGTTAAAGAAAATAAAATTATGCTAGAAATTTCAAATATCAGCAAATTAGCAGAAGAAATAAAACTTTATATTTAAAATACGATTGAAGAATATAAGCCAATTATTTATTTATACAAATTTCTTCTATCTCTTGTTATCAATGTTATAATAAATATGGTTTCTTATAAATGAATTAAAAGAACAAAAACATTTGTGATGTTGAATTACTTTAATAATTACTTTAAATTGAATATATAAATATTAGCAATTTACTTTTCTTATCACAATTCTGAGCAGCTAAATCCAAAACATGCTTTAAAGACTCAAGTAAGCATAATGAGAACACTTTTTAATTTAGATTAGTTGAGTATAAGCTTTATTTGTGTATAATATATATTTCTTTAATTAAATGATCGAAATCTAAAATATAAATATGTATAAAAGCTTAAACTAATTCTACCACATTGCAAATACACGCAAAGCAACTCTCTTGAAAGCAATAAAAACCAAAAGGACAAAGGATTCCGTTGAATATATTTGACTGTGCATATATTTATTGCGTTGAGTGTGCGTTGCACAGCACAGAATGGAGCAGAACAGACAGTTAGTTGGCCAGACTGCCTACAACGTTGTCAGCCGGAAACGGAAACTCGCGCACACAGATACAAGCAATGCACAAAAACGCACACAGATAGATACAAGAAGTGCACAGCACCCAAGTAAATGCAGTAAAGACGCGTAAATTTGCAACAAAACTTGACGTTCGCAAACAGTAAAGCTGTTCAAAATGAGCGCTTCGAGTTGGCCACTAAGCGATCTGATAAGATACTGGCGTTAAGACCTCATGCTGGCGTGAGGCCAAAAAACATTTTAAAAATATATTCTTAAAACCATTAAACTTGCCTGAATATAAAAAATATGAAATAGTTTCCTACTGTCTCTTTCTATGTTTCTTTCTCTCTCTCTCTCATCTGAAATGTATCAACTTTTCAATTATACTTTCGCTAATAATGAGAGTTATTAAAATAAATAAAATGCCTTTAGATAAGCCTGCACAACTAAAAGATACCCTGAATATTGGATACTTTTGTAATTTGTTTTTAACAATTATGGTAAAAATTATAAATTTAGTATAAAAAAAAAGTAAAAAACAAAAGAATTTAAGCAAAGTATACAAATAATGAAGTATTCTTGAATTCCAGACTAAACATTACTTACTTGTTTAAGAATCTCTTTACGGTGCAATGTCTTTTCCTTATACTTTTAATATACCAACGGCTGCTTTGCTGATGAACTTTAATTAATAGAGAAACACATGCGAGATGGCAAGTACTTAAAGGGCTGTAATATTTACATCAAATAATCACTTCTCTGAGCTCCACAAAATGTCCAATAAACATGTTGTTCAATCTTCCAATGGTTGCCAAGGAGGATTCTTATCAAGAAAATATGTAAAGACCTGAAGAGACCCGTATGCGGCAGCAATCGTGATCGTAATAAAACCTCTCGCGATAAAAGTTCTCCGAACTAATAAGATAATGATTCTAGCCGCATTTGCAGCAGTAAATATGTACCTAGATAATGTCCAAAGTAGGATAAAAATAGTTGTATATAGCTGTAAAATAATTTAGAAGATTTCAATAAACCTGCCGAAGCAGTTCAGCAGCAGTCTATGTTCTATACTTAAAGAACGTCGTTGTGTTCTAAATTAGCTCTTGGGACCACTTTTCAGTTGTACTTGTGCCTTATTATTACACCGCTTGTAAATTAAATACATTATATAATATATTCATGGTGTGGGATTGTTGTGAGACATTTACAATCACATATAAGTAAGCAAATGTCAAAATAAACAGCAAAAGAACAAGAGTTATTTTTAGATAACATTATTATAGTTGAAATCCGCACTTGGACACTTGTGTGAGTGTGTGAGCTATAGAATTTTATGGATAATTTTATTAAAAAATAAAGAAATGGATTATTATTTAACAGTAAAACTATTATGGTTAAAGGGCGACATATATATATAGGTTAGGTTATATCGGCTGTCAGCCCGGTAGGCTGACACACTTAGGCCAGACATATATATATAACTATTATTTGAATCTGAAGATATGAAATCTCAAATTAAATAGTATCAAATTGGTCTTTCTTAGATCTTTAATTTCTTTAATTGGACATTTCTTTTTAATTCGTACATTCCAATAATATAGGGGTCCCGACCTGATTACCGTCCTAAGATTGAGATCATAAATATTGTCGTATTAAAAATAGAAAGACAAATATAATACCCAAGAGTTTACAGAAACAAAATCATTGTATTTATTAATGGGTTACTACTTTTTGTTAACAAACACCAATTTATGTAAATTAAACAAAATTTAATCTTTAGCAAACATTTTTAAAGTCCGAAATTTTTACACTTTAACAATATCTTTGCCATTATTAAAACTAGTTATAATAGCATCCAAAACAAGCGATTTTTTACCCAGTTGATTCCGGCACTTTATCCAAATGACATATGATTGAGTTAGCTGTTGCTGTCGAAACGCAAATATTCACATCGGAAGCATCGCAGAAGCGTCCTGCGGGGCAGGTGCCGTTCACAGTGGTGGGTTTGGTGGCGCCAAAGCAGAAGGAGAATGTGTTGCGGGAGGTGCAAGCAAATGTTTTGCTCTCGTTGCAGAGGCCACAGCTGTCGTTGTCGCCACAACTGGCTGGCACTTCGGAGCGCTGGAAACAGATTTGTGCTTTATCCGTGCAGACCAAGCCGTCGGGGCAAGTGAATATCTGATCGTTATTCGGGATATTTTTGCCAAAGCACAATTTATATGAGGTTTGATTGACGCAGGCAGCATCGTTGGCCTGGCACACATCACAGTTGCTTTGCACTATGTCCAGCTGCCAGATCAATGCGGCGACAACTATGAACTATTACAAAAACCACAAATTTCAGGTATAATTTTTTTAATTTATCGCGCTTAGTCCTAAAGCTTACCACATGAATAAAATGAGACATCTTAGCGGTACTGGTGTTAACTTACAATTGAATACAAAAATCTTTTTGCAGCGCATTTTTATATTTTTTTTTATTTTCAGCAAACATATTCACACCTTGACATATTTATATTTATAACACCTGCTTATCTAACTGAGCACCCAAAAAAAGTGTCGATTTGATAAGCCAACCTTGAATATGGATATAGTCTAAGAACATACAAAATGTGTTTTATTATGTTTTGTCGCGAATTGTTGTATGACATAACTAAGTAGAATCATCTTAGCCATAAACCGATACACTAATGAGTTCTTCTGAACAATTCAAATTTTATTTCGTAATTAGGCAAACTAAATGAAATCAATTAAATATGGGTATAAAAAGAATTATATATCCAATGTTGGATTTAATATTAACGTCTAAAGAAGTGTCTCAAAATATAACCTAAAATTGATTTTAAATGGAAAAATGCACCAATTTCAACTTCAAGCAACGTTAAATCAATGGATTATATAGGAGTGTTTGTTTTGCTCCATATGGCTATAAAGATGTGTGATATTTGTAATTCAACATTCTGACAGCGGAAATTGCACAGTCTGTTGAAATCCAACGATGACAAAAGCTGTTTGTGGGCGTTGCACATGCAAAATGAATTTTCAATTTTATGACCAAGGGCAAACGGACAACTCGTAGTGCCAATTGACCGGCCAGAGAGTGTGAATGGATAGGAGAGGGGAGGGAAAGACTATAGCCGAGAGGGTTGAAAAATACCTCACCACACACTAATCATGGCGAGCGTTGTGTGCAATCTGAGCATCCCAAGCCAAATTGGCAAAGTGCAGTTGTAAATGGAATGCAAATGCACCAGCAGCTGCTGCAAGAGCAAAAAAAAATGTTTTAAACAATTTTACAATAGCAAATTCGCTTTTCACTTGCGCAGTGTGCATTGTTAGCGAATCAATTGTGCGTAATGACGTATCCTTGTCACAGGTGCCAAAACGCACTTTAAAGTCAGATACAACAGACACAAAAACCAACAACAAAGCGCACAATTTGTTTGGCTGAAATTCGTTTAAATTTAATTCAAATTCTGTTCATTTTACATGTCGCCCTTGACATATGATATATTATTCAACCTATGACATTTATGTTATCTAATAGATTCGGGTTCTTGTGTGGTCTTGTGGCTAATTAGTCAACGACAGAATCGTATTTAGCGTAGATTGTTCATTAATGAACCACAAAAAAGCACAGCTGAGGATCACATTTTGTGATACTGAATAGCAACGGTAGCAAGCAACTACCATTAATCTTTAAGGGGTTATTATTATTCATATATTTTAATTAGCATCTACAGCTGAAATCCAGCTGGGCAGAGGCACTAAGTCTAAAACAAACCAAATGTCTTCTAGGCAGCTATAATGAGAAACGATTTAAGCAAGTAATAAGAACAGGCTTAGAATAGTCACCGGTCTCTTCACATGATACTGTAAACTTAGGATTCACCTAGTTAGACAGATATTGATTTGAATTGATTATATTTTCGTCATTGATAAAGACATTCTTTGTTTCTCATTACCAAAAATTTGTATCTTATTTTAAAAATACATTTATTTGGGTATTAGAAAGATTTTCTGTTATTTGCTTACCGTTCATATTTTACTATTTTTTTTTTTAAATTTATTCTTCCTTATTTTTTGAATAACATACGTTTTAAGTTCGCAGTTACTTATGAGTATTTTTTTCTTTCGCTCATATTTCCAGTCAGCATATGCTTCGTTGAGACCTTCACACATGAATATGTATTGAATTCGCCTGGAACTCATAAAGTTGCCACAATCAGGCATTTTTACTGAGAATTTTATGCCTTTGGCATTGTTTGGCGCAGAAAAGCTGCCCTAATAAACAATTTATAGGCATACAATCACTGCATTGTTCGACTGCTCACAAAAATGAAACATTATGCAAAATATTCTCGACTAACGGAGGGTTAGACTGAGTATTGTGTGCCACGCTGCAATTTGACTGTGTCATTAAGTTCATCTTGGTTGAAGTCAGGCTACACAAATCCTTCAGCCAGCGTGATTTATTGTTGCATGCCGCTGGGTGCTCGATTGGCCCTGCCCCATCATTATGTGTGGCATGCAATTTGTCAAACTCTTGGAAAATCCTGTGTTAAATGAGCTATGAGTCAAAGACAGTATTTTGGTGCTGCAATTAGTTAAATTTGCATCGATTTTTATCCACTTAAATGCCTGAAGATAAAAAGCACGGTCTTACTCAGGTTGCGACAATATCAGAAACATGGCTAGTCATAAAATTGCCGCTTGTATTTACTGTTGCATAATTTAAGTCAGTGAAACGGCTTTTTATTATCCAAATGTTCATTGAGGGCTATCATTTTTATGGTCCCAACTAAGTCCAATGCATACTAAAGCAGGAAAATGCCCAAAAGCAAGGCTGACAATTCGATAAGCTTAAGCTCTAGACTGACTCCAATTTCATTGCTGGAAGTGGCAAAGAAAAAAGAAAGAACAGTCTGTTGTAAGCTAGTCGTAAAATTTACTGGTAATATAATATATATATTTTTTGGGGAGCCAAGGAATTTGCAATCAAAATACAACCCCAAAAGTGTCAAAGGCAAATCTTTAAATACAATTCACTGCTTTTGCATAAATAAGTAAATATTGAAATTTTTGTATTTTGCTTTACAAATTTTACAGTAAACAGCAACACCTTCAAAGTTATTTATGTTTGCACTGTAAGTGTTTGTCAATTATAAAAATAGGTCGCACAATAATAATATGAACAAGTCCTTGCTTCTACTCTTTATTTATGCATAACATGATTTATGCTTTAGATTTGATTTTAATAAAAATGCGCTAATATTTAAAAAAAAGTGAAATTAATGTGTGAATAAAATAAGTGTTATTTATTTCGGATTACCTTAATAATAAAAATAATATTATTATTTAAAAAACATTAAGCTTTGGCCAAAATATATAAAAACTCAAGAAAATCGACAAATTTAACTTATATTTTCCAAAAGCTTACAACACCTATAACTATCAATAAAACTGGAAAATTGTTCTAAGGGGCAACAAATCGTAAGATTAATAAATTAATTAATAAATTATACCATTTTTTTTTTTTTAGTTTTCGCCAAAAATATGTGTAGTTAACGTGTTAACAATATATTATAATGACGACTCACTTAGAGAAATTAAAACAACACATCAGGCGACAATCCTCATTCTATATGTACAACAAATGGCCAAGAATACATAGGAGCTGGGATAAAAAATAATAATGTTTATTCGCCCAAAAGAAGAAAAATGTTATAAAGAAAACAATAAAAGCGCCGCCAAGCAGCTTGGGGCTGACAAATGACAAACTAAATGAGTGATGCTTAACATGGCTATTTGCTCATTTGTCTGAGGACCAACGGTTAATAAATGTCAAGCTTTTACATAGCCATCAATATGCCAGTTGCCGTAGTGCAGCAAAAATATACATTTAACTTGTACACAAGTAGTTAAGCTTTTATAAAAATAATAGCATACGAATATAAGGATTTCCAAAATAAAAATATTATGGCACAATCCAAAAGCATACTCGCAACACGAATTGTCTGACAACAACCAGAAGTCATTGTGGCATGCAACTTATTTAATATACATTATATTTGCCAAGACATTGCACCCGTATTTCGTTGTAACCCATCTAAAAACCCCAATAAAATAGTTCGCGTGCTGACGTAATGGAGTTTAGTTTATTGAAATTGTGTGAACTTGCTGCATTCTATATTTAGAGAGGCGGACAGTATTGAAGACGTGGCACATGCGGCTATGAGGACACGTTAAAGATAGTCTTCAATTCGTCGCCACAATTTTGCTGTCGTCAGATGAACAAATGAGACGTTGCGCTTGTGGCAAGAGTTAGACAAGTTTTTCTAAATGCTGGTGTGACTTTTTAAGGATTTACATCTGTTTTTTAAGCGCTCGTGCTCAGGACAACATTACTGTTCAATGGGCAACATTCAAATATCGATTTGAACTTTAAGTAAGATTTTAGGGTTTTAAAAGTATACAAAAAGCAAACAAAAGTAGTTTAACAAGCTACAAAGGATATAATCCCCATTCAAATTCTTGTTGTTTTTAAGCTCGTCTAATGAAAAGTAAATAAAAATAAATTTGAATTAAATTGAAAGATGTATAATATTTAATATATTTATAAAAATAAATTAATTAGCATCACAATCATAGTCCTAACCCCATTATAATTCTTGCTATGAGATGCAGACTATATATGTACAGACTCATTTAACGAAAAAGTTAAAAAAAAAAATTAAAATTAACTCTTATTTAAAAATGGCATGCAAGCATTCAAGTTCAAGAACCCAAATGACCTTCTTATAAGCTCCTCAACCCCCTTCTAGCTCGCAATCACCTTTGTGCTTCTGCCAGCCAAATACTGTTTGTCTGCAAATTTAACTGGCCATTTCAAATCCGTCGCACAAAGCAAAGCTGCCAGACAAAATTCAATAAAGATGACGTGTTAAGTAATTCCAAAAATTGAGGCAAACAGCAATTACTAAAGTTAAGTAAAACGGTTGCTGGCTGTATTCAGAGAGACCCAAGTGTCAAGCACTAAATCCAATTAAATTGATTAATATGCACAACAGCTTATAAAGGGATATTTAAAGCAGATTTAGTTTAAAGCCGCAAGTGTCATTTACAGTTATTGGCAAACATTTTGCAACTAATTGTTAAACGTTTAAGCTGCGAAATGTATACAAAAGTCCTTGAATTGGAATTACTGAGTTAAGTGATGTGTAATGGAGTAGACTGAAGTGAAGAGAAGAGAAGGGGATACGAGAAGGAATCTTCCTTCTTATCCTGGACGCCCCTAATCGAAACTGTCGCTTCTTAGCATCCAACGAGACAGTTTCATCTCCTTGTCGCTGTTGCTGTTTGCGTTATTTTGTTTTTGTCGAGGATTAAGTGAACAACTAATTGTGAGCTATGTTGGCTGCTTAAGCTGCTCGGCGTCTCCAGCTTGTGTTCCGGACAGATGTCACGACCGAAACTTTTAAATTCCAACGGCCAGCGAAGCCTGAAATTTAATTGCTAGTTAATATTTCTCGGTTTAAAAGAATAAAAACAAAGTAGCCAAAACAGTTAGGAATTGTCAACAAATTATGAGACAAAAAAGTTAAGAAAATACCAATTTTCAAACATATAAATGAAAATTGTAAAAGGAATACAAAAATAATAATGTAAATTGGCAACCAAATTCAAAAGTTAAGCGCTATTTTTTTTTAAAGAAGAGAAAAAATGTGAATAATTTGCAATCAGAAGAAATGCGAAAAGTTCCTAAAAATTATTAAACTTGAATACGTTGTTGACAATTTGATAATTGTTGTATTTAATATTAGTTTTATATTTAGTTAACTTTAAATTTTAAAAAATATACTTCTGGCTTGTATTAAAAGGCAAAATGTATCCAATCTGTTGAATTGAGAAAATCCCAAGATTTTTGATTTTATTAAATTGTGAATAGGTTTTACACATGTTGCTTGGATTCGGGAACACCCAAAACTTGAAATGAAATCCATTCAATAAAGCCCACTTGTTGTATCTTATCTTAAAGTTAAGTCATTAGGCAATCTGATCCAAGCACATATCAAAAGAAAACTCAGGCAGATTCTAACACAAAATGTCATAGATACAAATCTCACTCATAGTTAATTAGTTGTTGAAGTATTTATAGGAAAGAGCATAAATTTATGAAAATTATGCAGTTTTGCTTTTCTTGTTGTTGCATTGATTAAAGTGAATGTTCAAAATTTTGAAGTTAAAGTTTGAGTTAAGCCGAAAACTGATTTTACGCTTCACAACTTTTAATGGCAATCATGGCGGTTGGTGTTTGACGCCGAGCATCAACGCCGTTTGCTGTTTCGGCATCAAAATGTGCGCATAATGTGGCTCTTTAATGGATTCCATTGCATACATTTTAGGGGCGCAAGCTGCGGCAGCACCAAAAAATTATGCAACGCCCTCTGAAAAATGGCATCTCATGCAAATTGGCCAGCCAGCCCCAGTTGCGTGCTATTTGTGGGACTCCACACTGCGGCATCGGTGCGGCATGCTGCCCATTTGTCGTAAATTGAGAATGCTGAATTACTGTCCCTTGATGTGTTGTTTTAATTTTGCTAAAATGAGTCGTCAAACTGACCCGAGCAGCTACTGAAAACTGTTGTTAATTGAATTTAAACTCAAGCTTTTATTTAGAGAATTAGCTAACGACAAGTGGACGTTAAAATGTTGATAAGCTCTGATTTTCATTGTAACCGGAAAGTGTAATATCACTTTCTCTCATTAAACATTTATCGCTGAAATGTTTAAGTTTTCACAGTACAACTTAAACGAAAATTCAAGCGTGTGAATTTCTCAAGATGCCTTGTTAAATATCAATCAGAAAGTTACACTGACAGTTGTGAGAAAATGTGAGCCAAGAATCGTATTTGACAACACATCTGGGGTAAATGAAAATTTATTGCTCGGCTTGTGGCCACTCACAAAGCTGAAACGTATGAAAATCTGCACACAATTGGCTCAAAGCAAGCTACAATTGAGGCATAATTAAAACTAATTATGCCAAAAGTCGAGGAAATGCTAACGTCGGTATGCGTATAACACGTCTGTGAAACCATTTTCAAATAAACGTCAAAGTGTTGAAAGGTTTATAAATTGCTCCTGCCAACTTTCTTACCCATTCACTCTCTCAAACTACCTGCTGCCGTCTGGGAATCATATACGAAGAAGTTTCACAATTTAAGCACAGACAGAGATGGAATATATAAATTATTAGAGCTGGATTAAATGAATCAGATTATGGTTTGATTATGTCTATACATATAAAACAAAACACAGTTCTAAAATTAAATTTATCAAGTATAATTGAACAAATATGTCAAAATTGGCGATGTATTAAATGAATGGCATTTCCCCGCATTGACTTTTAATATAAATATAGTAAACAAAATTACCATCACAACTTAACTAATTTATCATATTTTTGGTCTGATTGGTTTTTTCTAGGTTTTCCATAATGATAAAAAAATTATCTATTACAAAATATTACTATTTTAATAACCTCTTTCACACATGTATTATTGTTGTCTTGTTTTTGCTCAACATTATTAGGCGAGTCAAACATACTTTACTAGATCGGCCTATGTTGGGTATGTGCGATAAAAGGAACTAGTTCAGTTAGGACTTTCATTACCCATCCCTGAATTAAAAGTTTTGTGATTTCTTAAGATTTTCGCGCTCAACGCATTTCCTAAATGAAATTAATGCAAATGCGACGCGACGCGGCGGTCCCACAAAATGTCAAACGGAAGGCGCGAAATTTCACACGTCTAGCGACATGACAAATGTGTGTGTGTGTGTGTGTGTGTGTGTGTGTGTGTGTATGTGTGTGTGTGTGTGTAATGTGTGTGTGTGTGTAATGTGTGTGTGTGTGTGTAATGTGTGTTTATTTATTTTAGCTGCGCAATGTTGCGGCTGCTTGAGCGCCTTTTGTTCGCCAGGCTCCACAGCGGAAATTTAACTCATGGGTAAAAAACTATGCCGCAATTTTATTGTGTGAAAAATAGTTTGTACATGTGCCACATTTGAATTTCTGTGCACTGAGCATGTGTGTGTGTGTGTGTAAGCTGCTATACTTAAACTTGTTGACCTTTCCAGCAATTGCGAGTAAGAAATTGTTTCAAAGTCATTTTTTAAAGGTACTTAGTTTTTTTTAATAAATTTAAATTCAATTTTTTAAGCACAATCTCAGTAATCATTATAAAAATAATCTACTAAATATATTACGGTGACATATATAAATAGAGACTAGGACCCAAAATAATAAGTCAAATATATACCACTAGAAAGTAAAAAGTTGAACATAAATAAAATACATTATCAAATGAAGTAATTTTTTTACTTCCAGTTTTTTGTACATATAAAATTTGTTGATGTAAAAATCTGCATTAATCTCAAATATAGAACATACTCTAAACAAAATATAACTAATAAGTAAGTAAGTATACTCACTTACTATATTTATTTATTTATTAATTAATTCATTTTTAGTTAAAATTTGCATACTTAAAATATCAACCATTAGCTTTAGACTACTTTTTCCAGTTTTACAGCAATATATCAAGAAAAAAGAGTTTGCTTTTAATCTGACTTCAAAGAGTAATTCTCCATCATTATTTTCATTAGTCTGCAAAATTGAAATCAGTTCAAAAATGTTACAATTTTGAACTTGAATATAATATCTCACCTCAAACCTTATCTTAACTGGAAAATTGAATAAGAAAATGTTTCGAAATCAATACGATAGTGATGTTACCTTATGGAGTCCCCAGGGTCGCCTCTTTCAGGTTGAATACGCAATGGAAGCCGTTAACCAGGGCACAGTCACAGTTGGCCTAAAGAGTGAAGATTTCGCAGTACTTGTGGGACTCCATAGGCCATATACCGAGATGGGCGTATTGCAGCCAAAGATCTTATCCATCGATAGTCATGTGGGCATATCATTATCTGGCCTATCATCCGATGCTCGCCAGTTGGCCTCATATTTGCGTACAGAATGCACGGCTTTCAGGCATTCGTATGACACAACCTATCCGGTTAGCAAATTGGTCAAGACTTTGGGCAATAAGATGCAAGCGAATACGCAACGTTATGACCGCAGGCCCTATGGAGTGGGTCTTCTTCTAGCCGGATATGATGAAGTGGGTAGCCATATTTGGCAAATAATGCCGTCGGCCAACGTTTTCAATTGCAAGGCAATGGCCATCGGAAGCCGGGCTCAATCGGCTCGCACTTATTTGGATCGCTTCAAGGCGACATTCCCATTCTGCTCCAAGGATGAATTGATTTGCCATGGTATTCAGTCCATTCACCAATCCCATTTCACTACTGATGAAATGCGTGTTTCTATTGGAGTCGTAGGCAAAGAACATCCATTCAAAATACTTACGAATGAAGAAGTAGAATCATATCAAAGATTCTGTCTTTTTGCCGTTAATCCAGATAGTTCGCAAGATACAGAAATTGATGAAAATCAATCAAATCAATCCATCTAACAAATTCTGCAATTGTTTTGATATTATACTTTGTTTTTGGTTAAATATTTCAAAATAAATGTAAATCATTTAAGAAACATGCCAGAAGAGAACTTAAAAATAAACCAAGAAAATTTTAACATTTAAATTCGTCATACATTCTGTTTAATTATTCCAAAATTACGTAGTATATAAAAAAATATGCAATGTTTTGGTAACATATCTTAAAATAATATATTAAGCTTAATGTTCTTATAGTTACATCATTAAAATAGCAATTAATTGTAAATAGCTTTTTTTAAGCACCACACCAAATTGTGAAATGCTCTGTAAGCGTTTTAAAAGTATCAATTTAATGCTTTGGTTGTCCGTTAACTGGAAACCCGCTGAAAACCGACTATAGTGAGCCATAATCTGCCAATTAAAATGTCTGCCAGTGTGGGATAAACATACGAACAAAATCTCTGCCATAAAACTTTATAAAGCAAATGGCAAGCAGACGCCCACAATTGCCCACTGCACCCACGCTCAATGCTTTAAAGCATATGGGCCAATAAAACTTTAACAAAGTATTTAAGGTTGTGATGCTGAGCGGTAGGAACAGACAGAACCCTCTGTAAGTCGGAGAAAGGGGAGTCTGTAGATCAGCTATATTCTTGGCGCGCAAATTTAGCGTGAAGTTGTTAGCCGTCTGTCTGCACAGCCCTGGATTTGACTGCTCCCTTAACTGGCAACCAAAACTTAACCACAATATGAGCGACAACAAAAACAAATGTCAGGGTTGAGTATAACTATTAAGTGAGCAATTTTGCGTCCTTGTTTGTCGTCTGCTTAGTGTGTAAATTTCGTTGGGGACGGTGTCTCTTACATTGTGCACTTCAAATTATCTACCCCACTCCCTCCTACAGGACATGATGTTTTGTCGCGCTTCTTGCTCTGAGTTGGCCGAATTTAAGTAAACATCTTGTGCATCTGGCTAGGGTGGAGACCAACAGACACATATTTCTAAAGAGTATGTGTTCATTTACATTTTTGGTTTTCCAAGCATAACTAGTGACTTCCAACTACGCAGTTTAATGAGGCGAAAGTGTAATAATTTGAAGACGGAATTATTTATACTAGAGCAAATTTTAAATTCATTTATTTATGTATTGGCCAGAAATCTGAAACTTTTTATATTGATAAATATATAAGCTAAAGACGGAGGACATTTTAAATATTCTAAGACTATAAATCCAAAGATCTAATGGAATGGCTAATGGAAGAGCTATAGGCTCAGAAGGGGACCCAATAATAATAATAAAGACTATAAATGTAATTTATTTTTGTATATATTGCATATTTGCATATTATTTCATTATCATCGACATGTGTTGATCTTATTTGAATCTTTAATTTATAAATTTCATGATTTAATCCAGGTGTTAACTGTTGAGCCTGTTGTTATTATTGCACTTTCGCTAACGCGTAAATCCCCGAAGAAAGCTGCAAGCAAAATCATTCAGATTAATGTGATACCCAGCAAGTTTTTCGATTGCGTGTCAAAGTTTTGGCCAGCACTGTAGAGGTTTCACTCAATTACGATTTACTGAACTGTGGCTGTATTTCTTTTTCCTTTTTGACGAATTTGCTGGTTGTTGTCCTTTTGGGTCGAACTTCAAGCATTCAATGGGATTCCGGGAACTGCTTAAGATGTAACCACAAAATTTGCGATGAATTTGGAAAGTTGACATAACAATTACGCTCATTGAAAACACACTTCAATATAGACGACACACAATTCGATTGAGTCGTGATTCAGAATTGGGGTTAGTCGAGCGCAGAGTGCAACATGCCACTTAACACATAAATCCCCGAAGCGAACTGTAAAAAATCATTGAGATAAATTTGATTGCTTGCCACCAAACCGCATTTCACGCCAGCCTATCGAATGCGGGTCAGAGTCAAACTTTTGGCCAGCACTGTCAGTTGCTTAATTCCGTTGAGGTTAAAGTCAATTGCGGCTGCTGAACTGTCTCTGCATTTCCATTTCCATTTTTTTGTTTTTTTTTTTGGCGAATTTATTCTTGCTTTGCAGCTGTTCTTTTGGGTGCAACTAAAAGCAATCAGTGGGATTGACTCGACGTGTCCAACACAAATAAATACAAACTGAATATTTTTAAAACAACTTATATTTTAACTTCTTGATTTTATTGTATGTGAACTGATGAGATTTAAAGTTTAATATTGTTGAGATGTGGTGGGTAAATTATGCTCTTCATAGTTTTGAAGAGCTACAAACTATTAAAAACTATTTAAGCAAATATCAAGCTAAATTTTCCAACTCTTCGCTGCTAATTTCGTTAATTAAATATTTGCAGCTCGTAGATTTGCAAACCACACAGCATAAACAATGAGCAAAGCAGCGCAGAACATACCGTTAGAGCTTATAAACAAATACTATAGTAGAAACAGGTGGGTACATAAATATTCCACTTGCAGCACTAGCCAACCTCAGCATCAAGAAAACATACCCTACACATTTCCATAATGTGAGTGACGTAAAATCACTGTATATTTAAAATTAAAATTGTACTACAATATATATAATTATACTTTAATAAAATAGTTATATAAATCTCGAATTTAGAAAATACCACATTAAATTCACTTTAAGCGTGTGTAAAGGATATCTTTCACTTGTACATCATCTCAGACATATTTCTGATGATTCTTATGTAAAGCAGCAGATTGTTTTTAAATTTAACATTTCATTATTATTTATTACGCTTGTTAAATCTAAATCAATTCACTCAATGCAGCTGTACAGGATATCTTCTAGTCGTTGCACCATCTCTCTTACATATTTATTATGATTGTTTATTTATGCGCAGCTCGTTCGCCTGGTCTGCAGATTTATTTTGTCGGAAATTATGCTGCAGCATATGAATATTGAATGGAGCAGAAAGGTAGGCAGTGTGTGTGTGTGTGTGTGTGTGTGTGTGTGTGTGTAGTATGAATGAATATAATCAACTACCCGTTAAAACGTATTTATGCGCAGCAGCCATAATTTAATAAATGATATAGGACGCAGTTTGTACTTGTTTTTGGGTTAAGCGCACCATTAAAAGTTTGCCAAGTGTCGTTAAAACACTCGGCAGCGGCTCAATAAATTATATTATATATAAATTCAATAAATTTATTTTATAGGTGCCCTGGCACACGAACATACGCATGCTCAAGTGCTTAAGCATCCCTCTAGGGACTGCTTAGCTGTCAATTTATTATGTGTTAACGCTAAACGGAGAATTAAAGCTTAAAAGCATTGCACATTATACTTTATAAATCTTAAACCAGTTTAAAGCCCGACATGCAATTGACCAAGTTTTTACAGCGTCAATCTGAGTGCAGAAGCAAAAGAAAAAAAAGAATCTGATTCTGGGAAACGGTTGACTTCTAAATATTTCTTACTGGGAAACTTATTGAAACCAAACCGTTTTGAAATTGAGTTCCATTTAATTAAAAACGAGCTCTTGAGTGCCGCAGAATGAAAAGTCAAGCTGAAAATAAAAGGAAATTGCATAACAAATAGCCAAAGGAAAAGTCAAAGCTGAATATGCAACTTGTAATTAATGGGAAAATTCAAGCCATTTTATTTTACTCTTCAAATAAAAACGTTTGAAATTAATTTCATTTGAAATATTATAATGAATAATATCTATAAGACAATTTTATTTTACATTTCAGTTTAATTTTCGATACGAATTAATTAACACTCTTAAAGCATAAAAAAAATTAAATATCCAAACTCAATTATGAGACTACAATAAAATTCCATCGAAAACTGATTAATTGCGAAAAGTATTTGAAATGTATCTTGCTTGAAATTTGTCTGGCAAAATGTAGCTTAATTGATTCCGGTTACTTTGCAAAGAAACAGCAACATTTCCGAAAAGTTGGCAGCACAAACGCGCAAATTGAGTTCGCGCCTGAAAACAAACTTCAATAAAGTGCAAATATTTCGTAGTATAGTGGTAGACACACAATTCAATTGAAATGTGAGCCAGAATATTGGACAAGTGCTTCAATGTGGGTTAGTCGAGGACGGGGGTCAAAGTGTGCAACATGCCACTTGGCACCGACTGCAAGCTATACCAGCACGTGCACACATGGCGCCTGGGTCGTTGAATGGGTGGTTTGGATTTGGGTGGGGTTGGCTGCTGATGTAGAGCCCAAGTTGCAATTGGTTTTTTCTTCCTTTTTTTCCCCTACATGTGCAACATTTTGTCATGATTGTGCAAATTGTTATTTTCCTCACGAAATTCAATAAAAAAATATAAAAAATTCATATACAAAAAGGATGCGGGAAAATTTCTTTTGTACATGTTCTTGCCGCTGCCTAAAATGTGGTCAGCTCGCCTTTTATGATCGCTAAGTTTTTCCGCAAAGTTTTATCTTTATCCGGTTTACAAGTTTAAGTTTTGCACTGCATACATATATGATGTTTCAATTAAACACTTTTTGGGTTTTGTATTCGCATTTGTCTTTCTTGCAAAGTTTTCTCCAAACTCTGTCTCTTCTCTCTCGCCCAATCTCTCTGGCTTTTCACTTTTCACCATATAGTTTGGGATTTTGTTGTGCCAGCCACTTGTGCATATGTAAATATTTGCAATTAAAATAATTGAGTTTTAAGTTGTTTATTAGGCAAGTTTCTCGAGTGAAGCAACTTACAAAGTTTTCATGCTACAAATTTCCCAGGAACTTTTCATTTGCTCTATTTGTTGCATTTAATTTGGGCAAATTATGATGAAGAATATATTGAAAAATTAAAGTTAAATAAATGAAAGACCAAACATACAGGTGTTTGCTAAAAACTCTGTCTTTTAAATCAACAACAAGTAGAATAACTGAACACGTTTTTCGAATAGCTAAATGCAAACGATAAACTTGCAAGTCAGCCAACAATAAGTTTAGTAGAGCATACCTTGAGCTATGTGTGTACAAGTATAACGCATGTTACGCATACGCGATGTATTCCCAAATAACTCTCGACTCAAATTGCTGCTTGGAGTCCACAAGCCGTATGCTTATTATAAGCGATTTGAGAGCCCACAAAACATTACAATTGCCTGCCTTGCATATAAATGGCTTAAAGATAGCATTCGAGAAATCGATTGATTTGCCACCATAAAAGCCAAAGAGCTCGACGTTTTTTAGTTGGCTAATATACATATACGCTCCAGCTAGAATTCTTAGAATAAAAAAATGTATATCAAAGGATTTTTCTTCTTATTCCATTGTTGTTGTTTTCCTTCTGTATGCTCTGTGGCCTGCGGGTTTGGCAGCTGTTCAGTTGGTTCTATGGGTTTTTTTTCTTTTTTTACATAAAAAAGCGATATGAATAGCTATAGGTAGCTTTGCAAGGGATTGAGTGGTGCTTAAGAGCTCTAGCAATACTTTACAACAGTTCAGAAAATAAACTAAATTGTGAGTAGTAATTGGGAATGTATCGAATGTTTATAAATATATATATTTGTCATAAAATCAATGCTTTGAAGCTATCTAAAATAAAGTAGAAAAAATTCTGCGCAAGGAAATATTGAAGCGAATAACCCAGAAATAAACTAAGGGCTGTTGGACACTAAATTAATAAGAAATAATAAAGTGAAAAAAAAATTTCGTAATGTATTCTAAACATAAATATTAAATTATTTTTTTTTCGATAAACTTTTACATTTATGTTATCTCTTTCTCAGTCCATTAGCTCCTTATAAATTTATAGAACATCTATCATTCGAGTTGGTCCTCAGCACTTTCCTTTTCATATCCTATTTTCAAACCTCTAACACATTTACATATGAATGAACACGACCAGAAAAACACATCAATAATATTAATTTGGAATGAGCTCTGCGGCATGGTTTCTGTGTATGTACTTTTGAAAATATTTCAAAGGAATTTAAAAAAATGGGTTGAAATATGAAGTGAGGCAAATATTTACTTATTTACGAACTTTGTCGAGGACTTAACGACAAAAGCAATAAAATTCAGATGAAAACTGCCACAATATGAATCGAATCCATTGGGTATCAATAAATTGAACTGGTTTTTGGCCGATTAAATATACAAATTGTTTTTTTTTTTTTGTAAATTTAACGGCAATGGAATGCTAATTTAAAACATGTATCATTTATATTTTCTGTAGTTATTTTAAACCAATTTCATTTAACCACTTAATCTGATTTCTTTTCATTTTTAACACAACAAATCGTTTTAAAGGTTGATTTTTACGTTTATGCCTTGTGATTTTCGCTGTTCTTTTGTTGATTTTTCGCTCTTTATTTTATTGACTTGTTTTTCAATCTGTTGAATTTGGTGAAACGTCCTGTGCCCCCTTAGGTGTCGCGTTAGATATGCATCGCTGCCCCAACGTGTGACAAGTCGACAAATACAAAAAAAGAGAAAATAATGAAGAAGAAAAAACTCCAAACAAATCCGATACTTTTACAATGCCATTGGGCGATTTTTGGTGTTAAAGCTGCGATTTTTCAGCAATCACTGCATGTGAGACATTTTCATTAGTTTTTACTCAACGTAAAAGGCTCTTCTCTTTTTTATACCCTTGGTTGATATTATTATTTTATTGGTCTGCCAGATAGTGTCTCTCCGTCTGTCTGTTCTTTAGTCCGTCAGTTTTAACTTTATTTTTCTTTTGTAAATGAATAATGAAATTTTGAAATGAACAAGTGGACTCTTGTTGCAAGTGTATAATTTCTTTTCATTTTCTCTTTTCTGTTTTTTTTTTTAATTAAATTGTCACTGTAAAATGGAGGCTTGCAACAATAATATATTCAGTCGGCATTTTATGTTTCCCTCGTTGCTGATGCTGTTGACACTTTATCAGCCTCAATATAATTAAAATATGAGACACGTTCGCAAAATAGTGTGCAATGCATTTGAAATAGCCATCATTGTCAGCCGCAACTGTAGATTTTGAAGACAAAATTAATTCGAATTGAACATTCAAAATGCTCTAGACTCCTTTTAAATTCTTTCATTTTCTTTTGTGCTTTATTAATTCTAAACACATTCACACAAATACAAGTTAATACTCGGCTAGAGGGCTCTAGTAAAGAAAGCTCATTCTGTTAACCATAACATGAAAATATAGAGAAATACTTAACTTAAATAATTGCGCGAACAGTTCACCATTTGAAAATTCAATGTTTATAATACAAAACAATTATTATATAATTTTAATGAAAATCTGAAAATTTGTATATCTGCATCATACATTGTATACATATATATCTGCAAAATACAATAATTAATAATTCAATCATTAATTCTGTGCTTATATTCGGGAGACTATTTTTTCTGGCTTTCCAATATTCTTGCAATATTTTATTCCCAACTTGCTTTTCAATTTTGAATTAAATTACAAATTGTTTTATTTAAGATTTTTTTAAAAATGTGCGCTGTTTTTAGTTCACATTTAATAAATAAATAAAAAAATATATATAAAATTTGTATATCAATTGAAAAGCACTGTCAATCAAAAGTTGAATTTTAGTGATAAAAAAATATGAAAAATCACTCATGATCCACATCGGATTAATAGATAGCTCCTCTTATGAATTATCTTTCGGCTTTAAAATATATGACGAACGTGATACTGTATTATCTTGCTCAATTTATTAATTCACAACTATCATTAATTGCGAACAATTTTCATTGACGCATTGTTTGGACTGCAACTGTATAAATTGTATTCTTAAACCACTTTAAGCACTTTGTGGGCGGTGGCATAATTGTTGTTATGAGTACTTGTTATGAGTACTGAAAAATGCAATATTTTTAAATGGCTGACAGAATTTTTATTTCAATGTGGGATTGTGGCGACTGGATGCCGTGAAATGCCAACGGCCACAATTCTCTGGTCATTATTATTGAGCTTCCTGAATGTTATATTATCTGTAACTTATAATGGATTTTTAAAATGCAATCAATGCTACAATAAAACAAAATCACAAACAAATTTCATCAAGATAGCTTTAACAGTGAAAAGCGTGATAAACAAACCGACGAAAATAGCTGTGTGAAACCGGAAAGTATTGCTAATCAAGAATATATATACTTTAGACGACTGCTTCAATTCGGTACGATGAAATTATATTACCAGCTGTAATGTATTGAATGGATTTTCAAATAACAGAAAAAATATGTCTCGGCTAAGAAAAAATTCAAATTGCAAAATGTGTAAAATATTCAGTTATGATCATTATAGCCTCAACTTTTCAATTACAATCAAAATACATCATTCTTACTGAATGTTAAAATGAATTTATTACAGGTATTTATGTGCACATGTGTAAAATCTTAGAGTGTTGACTTCTTTCGTTTTGTTTTACAATATAATACATTTAACATCTACTTGTTGGTATGTTTACACAAGGTACAAGTACACACACATATATATATATATATATATATATATATATATATAAATATCTATATTGCAACAATTTAAATGACTTTCGTAGTTTGCGAGCTTGTTAAAAAATCTACAAAAATAAAATGTTTAATTGACTAGAGAGGCTGTTGGCATTGTTCAGACATCAGTTATGTTCAAGTTAAGGCAGTTGATCCAGAATTTATCAATGGTATGATATAAATGTGGCAGAGCATTGCCAATGCTGTGGTTCTCATCCGTATATGTCTGAAAAAATAAATAAAATTGATTTACTGTTCGATTTATTTCAAGCTGGGAATACTATACGCACTTGCTCATCGAAGAGTATATCGGCTCTTTGAAGTTGTTTGGCCAACAGCAGAGAGTGTTGATAATGGACATTATCATCACCGGAGCCATGAATTAGCAAAAAGTCATGTGTCTTAAAGTTATCCAAATTTCCAAAGGCACTGCTCTCAGAATACTTGAGTTGATTGTCATCCACCGTTGGCAGGCCCATATAACGCTCAGTATAGATGGTGTCTATAAGGCAGTGAACAATGACATTAAATAACCATGCTTATTGAGGGGAAATCACAGCTCTTACCATAATACAGCCAGGAGGTAACTGGCGCCACAGACACACCACACTGGAAGATGCGGTCATTATCCTTTTCGATTGTCTTGGCTGTCATATAGCCGCCATAGCTCCAACCCCAAATGCCTGTGCGTTCGGCATCAACAAAGCCAAGATAGTCCTGCATCCATTTGGTGACAAACAGTTGATCCTCCACCTCATGATCGCCCAAATCGTTGTTCACGGAGAACATCAGCTCTTTGCCCTTGTTGCCAGTGCCACGCCCATCGATATAGGCGTATATAATGTCCCTTGTGGTGGTAACAAACGCCTCATAGCCAACGGTAAAAGAATTTGTAACGCGCACCGAATTGGGTCCACCATAAACAACGACAATCATGGGATATTTCTTCCTCTCATCGAAATTGGGTGGCAACGCCAGCTTGGCAATGCCAGTGCTGCCATCTGCCAGAGCGACATTAATAAATCTATAGCTGGGACGCAGCTTTTTCGCCAAATTGGCACGATAAGCGGGATTCAGTTCCCAGTCGATGAGCTTCTTATTGCTGGGCGTGTCGACCTTCAAGATTTCCGTATATGACGGATTGGGTCCGTTGCAGGTGAGCGTATAGAAGGAGTAGGATTTGCTGAATGTGGCAGTGGCCGAGCGGCATTCAACGCCATCGACATCAACATGATCGCAGCTGAGGCAATAGTCGTTGCTGTACACATGATATTGCGCCGGATCACCCAGCTGAGTGGCCTGATAGTATCTGCAATAGGTAAACAAATTCATTAATATTCAAGTTTATCAAAGATTTCTTATTGTCTTGAGATAGAATTTGATTAAATGATTTAGGCTTTCACTCCAAAATCAAGCTGAGCTTAATTTCGCTTTTCTACCAATTAATTTTATAAGTACATTAGTTGACATTAATTAAATACATTAAATATTATTGTTGTTGTTAATGAGCCTCAAATTTCCTAGATTAGATTTGCATATCTACATTAATATTTATATTGTTATACTGAGATCAGAGCATTGGGCAGTCGTGAGACTTCTCGAGATTGTGTACACTTACAGCTTATCATTGACCTCATCATAGCCATAGATATTGAGCACAGTGAATCTGCCACGACTCTTCCAGATGTTCTCGCCCGTTAGCAGGTCAAGATTCCACACCTGATACCAGTTATTGATGAAGTAGACAAAGATGCAGTTGAGGCCATCCTTCAGGCACTTGGGTGTGCTCATGGCCACCCAGCCGTCGGGCTCTTCGATGCGCTTCACCTCCGCACAGACGCCCAAATGGCTGCAACTTTGGAGCGAGGCGAGATTCTGGCGGCGATTCATCCAGGTGATGAGCAGATGACTGCTATTCGACCAGACCACATTCTGGAGAATGTGATCGGAGCTGACAATATCGACAGGTGCGTTGATGCGTTTCATATTGGGATCATTGTCGGTCAGATCATAGACACGCAGATAGACAATCGGATTGGGTGTGCCCGATTTCGGATACTTGAGCTCCTCTTCGTGCGGATACTGCGAATACGCATTGGCACCATCGCCGTAGAGGAAATACTTAAAGGTCTGCACTTTGGTATCATCGAAAAAGCCCACAGCCAGTTTGGTGCCATCTGCTGACCACCAGAGAGCGCTGCCACTGCTCAGCACCTCCTCCTCGTAGACCCAATCGGGCACACCATTGTAGACAATGCCATCCTTGCCATCCTCCGTGATGGCTATCTCCATGTTCTCCGCGAAATGTATGTACACATTGTTCTGGTAGACATAGGCCAGTCGGCCCTTGAGTGGTGACCAGCCACAATACTGCAGCTTCTCGCCCTTGTGTATCTTTATCGCCGCATCCGTGGCAATGTCATAAACATCGTATTGCGCCACGTACGAGTGCCGGAACTTCTCCGTCAAATTGTGACGCACCAATATTTTCGTATTATCCGGCGAGAGCGTAAATGTGGCGCCTGTATAAGAGTTCTGAAAATGTGAAAAATAACTATTAGTTAATATATATTTTATATTTGATTTAATTTGTTACATTTTAAATGTTAACTAGAAATTTCTTTCAATTTTAAAACCATTTATATATATTTGATTTTGTTTATATTTCTCTTTATGCCAAATAAAACCAATAATTGAATAAATAAATATATGTTAATTAATTTTTAATAAGTACCAAAAAAGTGGATTCCAGAAAAATTGTATCCTTCTGAGTGGCTGCATTGAATTTGTGAATGGATCTATCGCTGGCAGTATAATAGAACTCCTCATCTGTGAATAATTCAAATTTAATGGGTCATTAGCTGTGTTAAGTAAAAGACACAAACCAAATGGCATCTGTGTCTAATTAACAAAATATAATATATTGTATTAAATATTTATATTTTAAGAAAATATAAACATATGTGTTTTGCGTACTAAGTTGAATTAAAACAAACAAAAAACGAATTAATAAAAATCAAGAAAATATACTTAAGTAAAACTGATTTTGTGTGTATTATAATTAATAAAATTAAAATTAAAATAAATAATGATTTGTAAATTTAAAAAATGATTTTAAAAAAATTTATTAATTATAAAAATAGGTCACCAAACACAGAGTCATATTTAAAAAAAAAAGGTTAACTGTTATAGAATATATAAATAAAACATAATTTTCTTACGAAATTTAAGAAAAATAGTTAAGTTGCTATATAAATCTTAATCACTACAACCGCTTTTAAATTTATATAAAAAATCCAACTTATTTCTTTTATTTTATCTTTATTACAACTAAACTTCAAATCAAATTGATAAGGCATATTTATTAAAGAAAGACAATTAAATCAATTTAAAATCAACTCGACTAATGATTATACAATTAAACATTAAACTTGCTAGTATTTATATAAATTAATGAACCGCATTAATATTATTGACGAAGGAGGAAGGAATCCGGCTCATGTCCACACATGTTGTGAACAGCTGCCATTTAAAATTTAAGAAACTTTAAATTTAGGTTCGCTTAAAGAATTGTAGCCGCGTATACTTATGGTATTAGTCAATCTATTGTTTTCTTTTATTCGCCCGTTTTCTATTGTTTGGGCCACAAGGCATGCCAAATTTCAATTACCAATGCTGATTGGATGGTTATATAATTGGCTTTTTGGCAAGTGCCCAGCTGAAAGCCCTGGACGGAAACTGAAAAAGTGCTTAACTTAATACAACTTATGTTGATTTAAGAAGTTTGTATTAGCAATGATTCAAATTGGTAACATTAGGCTAAATTACACGTGCTGAATCATTTTTGCATCTCAACAAAATGGGTTAGAGGATTAGAAAACCAGAAAAAAAAGTGTTTTTTTTGCTGGTATAGCCTGATAACTACATTGAGTATTATAAATAAACAATACTTGTGAAACCTGTTTTTGATTATTTTGTAGTACTACAATAAAATATATTTAGCATTGGAACTTGAGCTTCATAAACAGGTCACCTCAAGTGATGCTTATAGTCAAATATTATGTTGACATTTCTGACAGCAGGCAATTAAAATACAATCAATATCGTTGCTAGATACTCTATCTAACGTGTAGATTCTAAAGGCTATCTAAAACCGTTATTCGATTGCACACGTTAAGATAAGGCATAAGGTAAATAAGATTACTGGCTTTTGTTATACGATTGGCAATTCAAATACTTCTTATTTATTAGTGCGTTCAGATAGTGTATATTTACTGGTGAAACTCGTGATTGAGCGAAATGATATTAACAAAATCGTGATTAAGGCAACTTAAATTAACTGAAAATGGAATATTTTTGAAAAATAAGAATTTATGATTCAACATAAAATGCGGAATATCACTTATTTTATTCTTTGTTATTCTTCTATGGAATATATATGTATATACATAATATAGATCAGATTAGCAAATGTTCTCATTAATGAACACGAAATTGTGATTTAAACATGTTTTAACAAATAATTAACTTCTGCCTTGGGAATTACATACATGAACACACATATGTATATACATATATATCCCATACAAATGCAGAACAGGGAAACGACCCTCGGTGCAATTTTCGCTATTCAGGCCACAAAAGCACACGCATTGTCGGCGTAGCTTGATAAGAAATCTCAAGCTGGGAATTTCATGAACGCACACATACACACACGCACACAGAATGAACTCTGTGGGAAAGCACAGTCAAGGGGGAATTGACGAGTTGATAGCAAGCTCAACAGGAAATCACAAAGGCATCAAAAATATGTGCTACAACAACAACAGCAACAACAACTGGTACTCAGCTCACCTGTTATCCAGGTGCCGTTGAAGCCACGAAGGCCGGCGGTGCCGTAAATCGCCTCGGTTAATTCCCAGGGTGTCTTTAAATCATCCGCATGCAATTTGATGATCGCAGCGTGTGCGACGGAAAGGCCCGCGACCCAAGCCAACAGCAATTGCAATTTGACATGCAGCATTTCACGTCACAAAAACAACAGCAACAATAAAGACAACAATAACAAGCACAAACAATACAAACAATTCTAAAGGTGTTACATGCAAATGCGAAGTGAGAAGAATTCGCGATTTCACCGTTGAATAGTAAAAACACCAACGTTCGGCGGCACAATTAAACTTCAACTGAATTCAAAATCAATGGTAATCAGCAATTAGCGGCGACAGTTGAAAACAGGTTGCGCCAGCAGCAGAGTCGACTCTAAAACACCCTGTATATAAATGAACATTTTGAATGGGAATTTCTTACTTATAAAATGCTGCACAGTATGGTCGTCTCTGCAATGTTGGTGCAGACAATGCTAAAAAATAGCAGCTATTGTATTCATACATTATATTGAACAGTGTCACCCTTCGACTGTTTTGTTTACAGGGTATTACGATCAACAAGTGGGACGACGCACCGCACTTTATTATTATGGAACAGTTACACACAAGGCGGCAGTGTTGGTGTACTCTACGTGTTATCGGTACTTGTTATCGATCACGTTACCGATAACAACTAATTTAAAATGGAAATTATTTGCCAAGTAAAATCACCAGTTAATAAATACATTTCCTACATTTATGCGAAGCAAATGATTCACTGATTGCATTTAAAGTGATTGATTGAATTGAAAACCGTTAAGTTAACATATAAAAAAATAAATAAATATAAAAGCTATAAATATAATCAAATTCTAATTTATTGAGAATACTTTAAGAATTCAATCGGAAAAGTTTTCTTAGGCAATTTCCCAAGTTTTAGTTAATCAGCAATTAGCAGTCAATTTTACAATCTTTATTTAGAATTATGCTTAGTATAAACAGAGTTCGTTCGAAAGATGATACTACGGGTGAAAACATATATATATATATAAATCTATATATGTGGTGAGGACATGTTAGCAATGTTGACAACATCAAATCAAATCATTTCGTCGAATGCTGCTTAGGTTTACAAAATTACAACTTATTATTATTTTTTTAAGTCTTAAAGTCTAGTTTAAGTGGTAAACATAGAACGCTACACGGGAGTCGGGATATATATTTATTAATTTATGCACGTGTTTTGAAAGGTGATTTTAATTTGCCGGTGGAGGCGGTTGTTGTTGTTGTTGCTGCTGTTGTTGTTGTTGTTGTTGCTGTTGTTGCAGGGATGGCAATTGCATGACACGCGCCAAGATGTGCGCCTGCTGTTCCAAGTACTTGGGAAAGAATGTCTGCAGCAGATCCACCTTACGCTCCTCGAGCTCGAGGCGCTGTCGCGAGATTTTCGTTTGTTCCGCCATCAGTTGATTCTTGCGACGCACCTCCTCCAAGTAGAGCGACTCCAAGGAGTCAGCAGCCGGCGGATTACTCGAACCAAAGGGTCGTCCACGTTTCCGTGGCGTCGGTGTTGGTGCCAGAGCATTGCAACTGTTGCTGCTGCTGGTGGCAACAACCGAGGGCGGTTGCATGCTCGCAGCACCATTGCTGTTGTTGGTGGCAACACTGATTGTGTTGTTGGTGCTGTTGATGTATGCCACGGCTGTAATGGCCTGATGATTGATGGACGACGACGTGGAGGCAACATTGTTGCTGCTGCTGCTGTTGCTGCTATTATTATTGTTGCTGTTGTTGTTGTTGTGGTGTCCACTGCCAACAGCATAGCTCAGTTCGTAGCCAGGTTGAAATTGCTGCTGTTGCTGCTGTTGTTGCTGCTGTTGCTGTTGCAGTTGCTGTGGTGTTTGCAGCTCGAGCAGCTGGCTGGGCTCGGCTGGTGAATACTGTTGCATCTGCTCCTGAAATGGCAACGAGCGATAATCCTCATCATCGTATTCCTGCTTGATATCGTCATACTGATCCGTGAACAATTCCGTATTGAAGCTAATGCTGCTATTGTTGTTGTTGTTGCTATTGCTACTATTATTATTATTATTATTACTGTTATTGTTGTTATTGTGGCTGCTGCTGTTGTTGCTGTTGCTGCTATTGTTGCTGTTGTAGTAATTATTACCCACCGACTCCGTTGTCAAATTGAGCACCGATTGCTGACCCGGTTGTTGTTGTTGAGACTGTTGCTGCTGCTGCTGCTGCGATTGTTGTTGCTGTTGCTGATTTTGCTCCTCCTCGCGTGGGGGCGACACATCCCGATTGTTGAGCAGCACATCGGGTGGCAACGGTTCCGCATTCTTCGGCCTGTGTATGTTCTTTAAAATCCGATTAACAATGTCATATTTCTTCCAGCGCATCGGATAACTCGACGGATCATTCTGTAGCTGTTTCTTCACACTCCTATAAGGATAAACCAAATATAAATTTACTCTTCCCCGCCAGCAATTTCCATCAGCAACTTACCGAAATTTGGCCCTCGTCTGATTCACCTTCATTTGTATCTCCTCGGGCTTGACGTCGACGGCGTATCGTTCGCGCAACTCCTCGGACCACTGGCCAAAGAAGATGGTGTTCTTGCCGTTGCGTGTGAGACGCCAGTTCTCCCGGCCCCAAATCTCATAGAGACGCTCCTCCTCGCTGGGCGTCCAATAGCGTCGCGCCTTCTCCTTGGCCTTCACCTCCAACAGCTCCTGGCTCCCGCACATATTCCCATCAACTTCGCTGGCTTCTGGTTTCTTATTATTTACTCCTGCGCCGGTCGCAGTGCTTCCTCCTCCTCCAGCTCCGACAGCAAGATTCAACGACAAGTTATCGTAGTCCATGCGAACGATGCGCGGCTTGGTTTATTGTCTCGAAGCGTTACTCACTTGGCTCTTCTTTGCATCACTCCAGCTCGCTTATAAAACAGTTTGCTGCATTTATTCAACAGAAGCTTCAGTTTTTCGCTTAGAAAATCAACACTTAGGGATGGCTACGAGTATCGATTAGGCAACGGAAGCGATAATTGCAATTCGATTGCAGTCTTTTTTTCAACTTGACTTATTTCCTCACTTGGGGATTAATGCAGAAATGTACACAATAATATTGGCATTAATTGTTACTAGACTGCTGCTCATTAAAATTAAAATCCAGCCGATTTTGCTTGTAAACATCGATATTGTTTGTACACTGCTAAAATGGCCCATCCACAACAATGCTTGTACCCAGAACAGTGTAACCGTTGGCGGGCAAGCAATTAAATACACCAAAATACTAGATCAGAAATGTAGAAAAATTTAGCAACATATTAAAAAAGGGGTGTACTAAAAAGATACATATGATAGAGATATATATAAATAGAGAGATATAGAGATAATATAAAATCATTTTTATTTAATGTAGTTGCTTACAATATCGGCCATTAACATATATTCGATCATAGCACGAGTAAAATCAATCGCTATCTAAAATATCGGCTAAGACTACTATTCTATTGCTATCGATATTAAATATTCATCATCTCTGGCGTTTCACAGCCAATTTCCATCTCTATTAGAAGATTTATCCACTATTTTTGTACTACGAATTAAATCACAACTTGGCCAAAATGAGTGATCCGGAAAACGACTCGAAGGTGAGACGGGGTCCCAAACACATGCGTCTGCGCTACTACACCTCCTACGAGGAGGCGACCATCGTCAAAGTGTGGCGCGAGCATCTGCACGAAATAACTTCCTACACGGAGAATCTATCCATATTTCGAGAAATAGCCTTCGGATTGCAGCAGCATCGCATCCGGCTTAACAAGCAGGAGGTGCGGCGTCGTATCAGCAGCTATCGCAACAAATACCTGTGAGTAAAACGCACACAATAAATAGCATTCAAAGGAACCCAATGGAGTTGTTTCAGATTGGAGCGCAGTCGGCTAGAAAGCGATCCGCAGTATAAATCCGAATGGCGTCTCTTTCCGCTCATTGACTGCCTGTTCCAGACGGGTGGAACGGCCGCCACGCCCCCAAACGTTGCCCAAACGGAACTAAAACGCATCGAGCAGCTGGAGGCGAATGTGCGCCAGGAGCTGACCAACTTGCCCCGCTTCAGTCGCCATGATTGCAAAACCATCAAATTCAAACAGGATCCGAATGGTTGTCCATTCCTCGATGTGCAGCAGCAAGAGCAGCAGCCACTGTCCTTCCACTACGCCCACATCAAGACTGAAGTGAAACAGGAACTGGATATAATTCCAACACTGCCCGAGGAGAAACGCTTCCCGTTGATGTCAGCGAATCGCATCAAGCAGGAGCCACATCTGCTGCCGATGTCAGCCTCGGAGCAGTCGCCGTCCACCAGCCTGGACTCGAATCCGGCGTGCTATTCGCGACGGACGCGTCGTCGCATGATTATGCCGCGATCGGGAAGCATAACGCTTGCTCAGATCGAGCAGCTGCAGAAAGAGAACGAGCTACTCAAGGAGCAGCGGGACATGGATCTGGCCGATCTGAAGCTGATGGAGCGCGAGTACCAGCTGCTGGAGCAGAAGTTGGACAGCTGCCTGCACCGGAATGAGGTCCTGCTCAACTATATGGATACGTATCTCGTCAAGCGAGGAACTATTTAGATTGATTTTTAATCATAGTTTAAGTTAGAATTATCTCCGTTAACGGAAATGGAAATAGAAATGAATCTGAGGTTTATTTTCGAGCTGCTTCCAAAGAAACCTTTTTGATCTCCAGCGCTCACTTCTTATTTAAATTTCTTTAATTACACAAAAAATCTGTTAGAAAAAGATTAATATTTAATTTATAATTAAACCAAATACTACGAAATATTATAGGTCCTTTTGGTTTAAAATCTTTTGTTTTCAAATTGACAAGGGGCTATTACTTCATTTACAATATATTTTCTTATATTTCATATTTCAAAAACATCAATTTTGTTCAAAGGTCATCGCAAATTTAAATAATTAGCTTTTATAATCGGCGCGTATCTTAAGATTATTTTTATGGAAATTTAAATGAATCTATAATTAATTTTCGAGCTGCTTCCAATGAAAACTTATGATCTGACAATTTTTTTTTTTATTTTACGTTCCTCGATTATTTATACATAAAGTAGTTAAGAAAGTGCTTACGAAAAGATTACAAGAGATTTATATTTTAATTTTAATTAAACCAGATCCTTTTGATTGAAAATCTTTTGTTTTGAAATTGACAAGGGGTTATTATTTAAGCTCAAATATATTTTCTAATATTTCATTATTTTTGCATTTGTATACGAAGCAATAAAAAAGTTTTAGTAATAACTTATTTTTTCAATTTACTTATGACATTCATAATTCACGCCCTCAACTCTAATATAATCAACTTCTCTATAAGCCATCTCGTTTGGTATTTATGTGTGTTTGGAATACGGTCACTCTGCGAGCCGTTTTCAACGCATTACGTTCGACACATTGTTTAGCTTGCAGAGTTATTTATTAAAATGAGTACTGGCATAATAACAAATACAATTCGCATGCTGCGAATAAGCAGCCGCACAATCAAATGGCACAAACCAACGCTGACTGCAGTGCGTCAATATGGTAAGCTGAAGAAAAATAGGCAGATTTCATAACAACCGGCAATAAGTACATGAATGTAATGTATCGATACATTTTAGCCACACCGCCGAAGCGTTTCTACAAAACGACCAACGTACTCTGCACGGATGCGGGCTATGAGGTGACACTGGATCATCGCAAACTGAAAACGCCAAATGGAACGTTGTTTACAGTTAAAAGTGAGCCACTGGCGATTGCAGTTGCCACCGAATTCGACAGCCAAAAGGATCACATTGAGCGCTCTCGCATGCACATTTCGGCGTTATGCTTCACGGCCATCGATAATCCCAATAAACTCACCAAAACTGATATGGTCAACTATCTGCTGAATTTTGCAGCGACTGATACAGTGCTCTTCCAGTACGATGTGAGTAAAGCAAGCAAAATTAAGTAATCGATACGTTTTTCTATTCAATATTTTTAATTATAGGACGAGAAGGATCTGCAAGAGTTGCAGTGCAACGAGTGGGATCCAGTGATTGACTGGTTCAATCAGCGTTTCGAGACCAATCTGCAAAAGACAAATAACATAACACCGCCTCAGGTCACCGGAGACGATAGAATGAAAATTGCTAAACATTTTCAATCGTACAACCTCGAAACGCTGCATGGTAACAGTTTATCCCTTTTAAATGGCATATGTAATCAGTGTTCTTTTCTTGTTAGGCTTCGTCTTTGCTGTGGACACACTGAAATCGATTGTGCTCGCGTGTGCCGTTATTGAACAAATGTTATCGGTGGAGAGAGCAGTTGCCTTATCGCGACTCGAGGAGGAATATCAGCTGAAGTTCTGGGGACGCGTCGAGTGGGCTCACGACTTTAGTCAACAGGAATTGCAGGCACGCTTGGCTGCCGCTGTGCTCTTTGTGCATCTTAATTGTTCTGAGAACTTTGTTAAAGAGAAATTACTATTATAGATTTGTTGGACTTAAATCGTTTTTAAATTGCTAGAAACCATCGAAACCAGCCTCTTCTCTTTACAGCTATCTGGCAACACCAGCAAGCTGTTCAAGTACTGCACTGCACTGCTTGACACGGCGCCAGTTTTCAACACACTTTCATCTTATCAGCACTGCACTAACGTAAACAATGCCCGTTTTGCAGGCAAAGCAGACGTTACCATTGAAGAAAATCAGAAAGCAGCTAGTGTGCTTCACGACCCCCTCTCCCTATCTCGTTCTCTAATTCTTACGTTTCTTCGCTACTGCATAAGTGTATATGTGTGTGTGTGTCTGCGTGCACACGACTCTCTTTGTCTATGCACAAATGTACAGTTTTTTGTTCTTTTCGTTTGTAAGCCTTGTCAGTTATCTGCTGTTTGCTTTGATTTTTATCGCAGCCTCTGCTGATATGGATCATCACCCATAAGCAACGAATTCACAGTTTATTCTCAGATCTTCCCTTGACAAGTTGCAGCTCAAGTTTTGTGTTAATTGTTCATTTTTTTTGTTTGTCTTTAAATATGAATAGAACTGAAGATACGCCAATTGTGACGTAAGTTTAAATGAGGGATAAAAAGGGTGCAAAAGGAATTGTAAATTTGTGCAAATTCTTAAGACTAAAAAAAAAAAAAATTCTTGGATAAATTAACATAAGGCGTCGGCAAGTCGCCAAATGAGCTGCAGATTTGTTAAATAGGCGTGAAAGGGACAGACTGCTGCCAAAGAGCGTGGGATCAGCGGCAACTGTCGCCGCTGCAGGTGTGTGTGTGCGAGAATAGGACGGCAAGAAGGGAAGAGTTTAAAGTGCAAGTGGCTACGCAGTCTTTTTCTTTTTACCTTCTTTTTTTTCTTTTGTTAGCTTCTCTATTTTTTGTTCCTTTCTGTTGCTGCAATTGCGTTGCAAACTTGCAGAGCAAGTAGTTTAGCGCCATTTGCACTTTCCGTAGTAAAAATTACCAACTCCTCTCCCCCTCCGTCCCTATCCACTCACATATACAGCAAACTTATCAACGGGCACATCAAATAGAAGCGCACACGCACGCACACGTACACACATATATGCATGTGTGTGTGCGCGCTATTGTCGTGTGCCCTGATGATGGTGGGCTATGGTTGGGGGAGGGGAGTGGCATTAAGTAGTCGCCATAGTTTGGTTTAAGTAACAAAACTTCAAATTGAATTTTTCGTTACAGTTTTTCGCTTTAGCACCTATCAAAAAACAAAAAAAAACCCTTTTCATGTGCTTCCTTTTTTTATTCCCTCTGCTCATTACGTGCATTCGTTTACAGTGCTTTGGAGAGGGGAGAGGGGCTTGCGCTTACATTGTATTAAAGTTAAACACCGCACTTGGCAGCCATCAAGCGGCTTAATTCCCTTTTGTGCTTTTTATCCTGGCGCCATCTGCAGCAAAAAAAAATACAATCAAGAGCATTGCAGTATCGATACCTGATCATTCGATTAACATACAGCATATAACCATTTCACTCACTCTCACATTTGCAGGCGCAGCAATAATTACGGGACAACACCAACGCTGCATCAGCAGTCCGTGGAGGGAGGCGGCAATGGCAACAATAACAATATGCCGATACCAGCACCTTCGCAGATTTTCTGTTTACACGGCCGATCCAACAACGTTGAAGTCGAAGGTTAGTTTATATGCAAATAACGTTACAGAGGGAGGGGTAGAGGGGCACTTTTCGTGTCGATTTCAATCAGCGCCCAGCGATTTGCCGTTATTCATAAATTATGAAGTAAACGCAGCAGGCACCGGCATTTTGCAGCAAAAAACAAACATACAAAGAAAAAGAAACGAACAAGTAACGGCAAAATTAGTTTTCACAGCATTTTTCGTCAAGCTTATTACTATTATTGTTGCTGTTGTTGTTGAACGTTGTGATTGCTCAGTTTAAGTTTGGAAATCGAAAATATTTTGCTTGCGCAATTTGTGTGTTATTACCCGGAAAGCGCGCTAATTGGCAGACGGCACGGAAATGGAAATGAATGACGACTGCCTTGTTTATCGACAGACGACGACGACGAAAACAAAAACGATGAAGATGTCAAAGTCGCCGCCTCGTCTGGAGAAGGTCCATCTGCCTGCTGTTTACGGTGAGAAAGTGTCCCTAACACCCCACATCCACCCCCTCGCTCACACGTACTCCAATATGGAAAGAGCCTAGAGATGGGCGCGTGCCAAATTAAGATAAGCTAGCATCGTGCTAGTCGCTATAAAATAATCACGATTTTAGTTAGTTTTTAGTTTAAATATCAATCTAAATTTTGCTGCTAAAATTAGTGATACATTTTGAGATTCATATTTATCTACAATATTATGTGAAAAATCGTACACGAACCAAAATAAGTCAGCAGAAAAATGTTCGAATTGGCCACAAAATCCACGGGCGTCTTGTCATCAATCAGTTGATGGTTTTCAACTTGGTCGCAAATTGGTTGCAACAGCAGAAGCAGATGTGGCAGCTTGGCTGTAATCAAAATTTATGTTTGGACCGCTGCCTGACTATTGCTACATGCCATAAATTGCCAAGAACTGGCTCATAAGTTACGTGTGACAACGCTGCCAAATAAATGAACGCCTCATTTTTCTATATGGGAAAATGGTCAGCGCAAGCCATAAATAGCTTCCAGCTCCCAGTTTCGATCAACTCGGGAGTTTAATTTCCTCTTCGATAAGTAAACATGCTGCATGCTGCATGCGGCATGTCCGTGGAACGCCGTTTCGTTTGGCGCCTGATTGGATTTATTGGCAGGCGAACGACCTTAAATGACATTTACATCACCGTCTAGACGGAGTTGCTCCCAACACCAGCCTCGGCCTCCCGGCCAATATCATCAACTGCACAGCAGACGACACTCGGCTGTTGCCTAATCAGCTAACAACAGTAATGAGCCAAGCATGTTGCTAAACTGTTAACGCGACTAACTAGCTGCCCCTGCAACGCGATCCAGCTGCGACCATCTCTCGAATCGCTATCTGGCAATAATATCAACGACAATAGTTATCAATTGTATTTCATCTGTTGCTGTTGAGTTTGCTGGCTATGCTTGGACTCCGTGCCATGGATTTGCTCAAGCTCACTGAGCTAAGGAAGTGTGAAGGTAGCATGTGCCAAGATACGCTGAATACCCTGTAAAAAATGTAAAATGAATGGGTATGAGATACGACACACTTGGCTTGTAGTCTGGGATGGATTTATTCCAGCTCTCCGAGCTAAAGAAGTGTAAATACGCTGAATACCCTGTAAAATCGGTTACAAGCAATTATTTAATCAAATACTTAAAATACTAAACAATCATTATTTCGATGTAAAAATTTGTGCTATTTTGTACTTTAAAGATATACATATATATCAGATAAATCACAATTTAAAGAAGTGCAAAGTCTTGTTTAAAAAGTCTTATAAACTGATCCCCTGAATATATTTTACTATCTCTTATACAATCCACTATTCCCCCTTTTAAACACAAAGTTAGGATAACCTCCTATTTAATTCTCAAAATTAACATCTTAAAACTAGTTTTGCTTTCTATGTTTAATTCTAATTATTATATAGCCGCTACAGGACAATTCCTATAATAATAGTTATAACATTGCTTAAAGTCCAGTCAACAATTTCGACGGATTCCTCCAATATATGTGTTTGCATATAATTATACGCAATTTGTAAGGTGTCTTCGACCAATAAATAATTTATAGAAAGTGTGTATTGTTGGCGTTCGAGGGACTTCAATGAATGCCAAGTGAGGAGGCACGCGGATGGCAACCGATGTCTTCCGAGTGGCATGCCACATTTGCACATCTGGAGATGGCAAATGACATGAGGAGCGGAGCAGCAGAAGGACCAAGGTGAACCAATTAAAGATTCAGATGAATCGGAGTTGTTTAAATTGCAAGTATGATGAATTTTATGCAACGATGACGATGACGAAAGAAGCATTACAAAAGAAAGCAGCTGCCAGCTGAAGCGGCAAACTGTGTATGGGTGTGTGTGTTGTGTGTGTGTGGGTGTGTGTGTGTGTTGTGTTTGTGCGGGTCTAATAGGTGAAATGTTCATGTGGCATTGGGAATTCGTACCTGTGCAGCTGGCCCCAGCCTTGGTTATGCACTGGAATTTAATTTCGCTGCTGGCATTGTTACTGCACATTGTACAGTAGGAGTTTTTCGAAGACTCTGGCAAGTATTGCGACAGAACAAGAGATTCAGGGGGAACAGGAGCAGAAGCAAGAGCAAAGGAAGGTGATGTCCTTGTGCTGAATTCAAATGAAGAAACCGCGCAAACGAGCAAACTACAAGCGAACCATATGCACATTCTCTCTCTCTCTGTCTGTGTGTGTGTGTGTGTGTGTGGGGAATGAACAAAGAAAAACTGCACAACAAGAAGGGGCAGTCTGTGGAGTTTGGGGGGCAGTGTTTGGGGCGGTGGGGTGTTCAAAAAGAATATGCAGCGGAAATGACAAAGCATGAAATACGGCTGCGACAAATGCAATAAAGTATTTAATAGACTGCTCCTAGCCAAACGAGAAAGCGGAGCGAGCGAGCCTGTCACTGACACCAAAACCGGTTACCCAGGACCAGCAGCCAGGTCCAAGCGCTCTCATGTGTGTGTGTGTGTGTGTGTGTGTCGTAGACAGGGACTGCGCGGCGGATGGGTAATGGGTGGGATAGAAGGGGATCTGGAGGGGAGAGAAGGGAGCATGGGAACCAAGGCAAACAGCGTCGGTGGTCATTATTCACGTACCATGTTAAATAAATTTAAATGCCTGTTTTGTAAATATGTAAACGGCATAACAGATGGCAAGCGAGCAGGATGCAAAACACACAAAGAATGCAGAGCAGCAGCAGCAAAGACAGAGGGAGATGGTAATAGAGAGAGAGAGGGAGGGAGAGGGAGAGAGATAGAGAGTGCTGCTACGAGTATTGCATGCAGCGTCCCTGGGGTCAAAATGTTGCATCGCATACGCCGCATGGTCCAGTTTATATATTTTTAACATTCCTACGGAGAAAGTAAGCAAAGAATAAAAATAAAAAGAAATAAAAAATTATATGCAATTGCAAGAAATACAATTGTAAAATTGTCATCACTGGCCTTTTCCAGCAAGTGCCAAATTTTTAAGTGATATGCTAAATGCTTTGCTCCTTTTTTTCTTAAGTAGAGTTTGAGCAGAGTTTGTATTTTTTGCATTCTGTAAGAGGAGTGTACTATTTAAATTGCAAAGTACAAACGCAAGCTGATTATCAGAACAATTGTATATCGTTAAGGTTTTGTTCATGATAGCCATTCAAACATTTTTACTACACTCAGAAAATAATTGTTCTGTAATTTTGAGTAAATCGCACTAAATTGAATATCGTCCTGAAAACAGAAATTAATATTCTGGTTATGTGGTTATCCTTATTTTATAGTTTCTACTCAAATTTAGTACTAAAAATAACTTTAAAAATGTTGATCCTAATCCAGACATATTAAAGTAACTTTTAAGAATACAATTTAACATAATATATTTATCTAAAATATGTTTTACTTTACTGTTGCTGTTGCTGACTAAAATAAAAATTACTATTTGCGTTTTTTCCACAATTTTCTTTCATTTTCCTATAGAAAAGTCTTAGTCGCTATTGCATCACTATTTATCCTGTTCCTTGTTGATCCAAATATCATTATTATTATAATTACCTTTGTTATTTTGTTTTAATTGCAATCTTTAACTTGTTGGTTTCTTTACAGTTCGGGATCATTGTCACCGTGCTCGCAGCGAGGGCGTGGACTTAAAGGCGCGTCGCAAGCTGATCATTGCCAGCGTTTTGTGTATGGTTTTCATGGTTGCCGAAATTGTGGGTAAGTTGTGTACGGGAGCAGCCAGGCAAGCAGCATTGCTTTCTTTTTTTTTTGTTGTCCAATGTTGCTGTTTTGCTGCCTTTTGCTTTACATTTTTGCATTTCACTTTGATTTTTCTGCTGTTGTTTGCTTCGAATTCCCTCAACTAATTTCGGTCACCTCAGAGAGAGAACTCAACGTAAAGAAAAGCTTGGATAAAAAAATGTCTGTCAAACAAAGCAGCAGCAGGCAAAAAGGAGCAAAAAAAAAAAAAAATTAAATAAGAAGGACGACGAGACGATTAAAAACTGAGCACCGGAAGTGCAACAATATGGCGAACGGAAGAGCTTACTGTCTGTCTTTGCCCAACACGCCCAGGGGGGTAGCGACTGGAGTGGGCTGCTATACAATAAACATTTAATTTTCAAGCGCTGCAAATGCGAAACTGTCCTTAGTCCTTCCACTCCGCCATAGTCTTGGGCTGTTGCTGTTAATCGTTTTGCAATTACCTACAATGTGCCATCGGTGCCGTTGGCCACATACCTCTGCGCCCTTCCACTCCCTCTCCCTCTCCCCCTCTCTCTCTCTCTCACTCTCACTCTTTATTTCTCCCTCAATCTTTCTATGTGTTTTCCCTGGTCCTTTTGCTTTGCCCTTAAATCGAAATTGTTGACTGTCTGAATGCGGCAACTCCCTTTCGCTGTTTTGCTAACCATTTGATGATGGCGGCAGTCGGTCGAAACTGGAAGAGTATTAAAGGGTTGGGGACGGGTTGGCAACGTCTTTGTGCCGCCCTATTTCCACAGATTGCAAGTTAATTTTTTTCCTCTTTTTCTTTTTTTTTTTTTGCGCATTTATTTACACTTTACACTCACACACACACACTGACTCTGTCCCATCTGTCCCACAGGTGGCGTTTTATCGAACAGCTTGGCTATAGCAACAGACGCTGCACACTTACTCACCGATTTCGCCAGTTTTATGATCTCACTGTTTGCCATCTGGATTGCCGGACGTCCATCCACGCAACGGTAAGTCTGCGCCACCCAAACACTTGCCGTAAACTGCATAAGGCAGACTGTAACTCGTCTTTGCCTTTTGACAACCGAGGGGAAATCAATAAAACCGTAAACTTTTCTCTTTTTTTTTTCTTTTTTTTTCTTTTGCGTGCTTTCCCAACTACTTTTTGACACGGCGCTCAAATTTGGTCTGTTCTCCCATGCGGAACTCGAACTGCACCCAGCAGTTAAACAATTTTTGAATGAACTACCAAAGAGAGCAGTCAAATGCTTATTTTTCATGAAGTTGTCTGTGTTGTGCAGTCCTTAAGAGAGTTCTTTGTGTAGATGGCAACAAATAAATATTTAAGAATTTTTGTTAACATTTCACCGAATATTACTCGGAGCGTAATTGCTAGAATTATTCAAGCATGTCCCTTTTGCAAAACTTTCAATTCAATGAAATTACGAGATGTGCGTAAATATGGCAGTAAGAAACTAATGAAAAAGTTACATAGTGCCCCTAATCAAAAATAAAAGTTAAATATATCTATAAGCACCATATTCAATATGCGCGTCTAAATGTATTGAAATCATTTTAAAACATTATTTTTTATTGAAACTTTTAGTCTCTTAAGAAAGTATTGTATACCACATTTCTTAATTTTCTTGAGATTTCCATTCTTTACTGAGTTACAATTTTAAAAAAATATTTTCTGGATACAAATTTTCAGTAAAAGTCATTTTTGTAATAAGGACTCACATTCATACCATTTTCTAAATTGTCAACTTTGTTTTTATATTTTAAATTATGTCTTTCATATATCTTAAATTATGTCTTTCATATATCTTAAATTATTAAATTATTTTTTTCTTTTGTTCTTCTGAACAACCCTAATATATTATAGAGCTTGAGCATTTCGCGAGTGTTTGGAGAGTATTCCAGTAAGACAAGATCTCTTGCCAAGTATTTTTTTTATCTTATTCTCTTTCTTTTGGCATAATTTCTGCCGCTTGGCTGACTACGTCTGGGCTGCAGCTGCCAGGTCCCTCTTCGCCTTCGTCTAATTAGGCGCAAAGCCTGTTTCCAAATTTTCACTGCCTGCTGCTGGTGCTGTTACTGTAGTTGCTATTGCTGTTTGTAATTTTGGCTGCTTTTGCCGCATACATTTGGCCATTGCACATTTTTCAATTGGTCTATGGGAACTGCGTATGCTTCACTCCACGCTCCACGCTCCACCACCTGCCTCGTACCTCCTCCAGCCCTCTAAAGCAAAACTATGAAGTGGGTGCTTTGCATCCATCTTGTTCTCGTGCTCGTGCTGGTAGTTATTCTTGTTCCCGTTCCCGTTCTCGCATTTTCATTCTTGTTCTGGTTCTGGTTCTGGTTGCTCGTTCTCTTGTTGGCTGGTGAGCTACGCCGCCCGGCACGTTCTGCTCATTCATGCAAAAATCTCACTCACTCGACGACTCGACTCGACTGCAGCCACAAAGTGAATAATGAAAAACTTTTGCAATTTCAAGCGTGTTGCATGGTAATTTTGTAAATTTTCTGCCGTTGCTTCAGACTTTGTTGTTTCTGCTGCTGCTGCTGCTGTTGCTGCTGCTGTTGCTGCTGTTGCTTCTGCTCCTGCTGCAAGTGAAGCGGCTGGTTAAAAGCCTCAGCCTGGTGCGGTGTTCCTGCACTCAGCCCCTGCCTGCCTGCGTGCCTGCTCTTGGTGCGGTTCAAAGCCTTGCAGTTGCCATTGCCGTTGCCAAGTTGACAAGCCTAATTTATCAAAACAAAACACATTTGCACAATTGCAAAGGCAAATGCAGCAATGCTGAACACAAAACAATGCACATTGGTGCGCAATTAGTTGAACTTAAGATCTATAAATTAGAAAGCTTACGTAAGAAGTAATAATAATAATAATAATAATATAAACACTATTCCCTAAACAAGTTAGTTGGTTACTAAGTAAAAATGTGTTGCTCCTGATAATTAATGGAAGAATCGCTTAGAATGAAAGAGTAATACAAATTTTCTTTAAAAATTTCAAAGAGATCTACAAATAATTCCAAGTCTAATTTGTATGATGTTTGGATTGGAAGTTGAGATTCATTATTTGTTAGTTTACTAAGACAGATAACAGCAAAACACTGATGTTGTAGATAAGAGAGCAATTTTCATCATTTATTATGCATTTTTATAAAAAAAAACTTTACGTAGATAATTAATTTATTCCTTTATGATCAGCGACCTTGAAAACTATTCGTTGTTATTGAATTGGTTTCTTTTTGGAAGTGAAAGGCAACCAAATGAACTGCTAATATGGGATGTGTGCTTTGGGCTATTTGATGTTCAATTTGGCCAGTATCCAGACCAATGTGCCAGCGAATAAGGTGGCAAATTCGCTGGCAACGCTCCCAGCAGCCAGTTTGCGTTGAGAAACCGACACCAGGGAGTCGGCAGGCGGTCATTAAGCAAATGGCTGCACTTGCAGTTGCACTATATATGTATATATATATATATATTATACATAGAGAAATATATAGCACGCCATACACATTGGCACAATCTGCTGTCGGCGGGACAGTGGCAGGGGTCGACGGATGTTTGCTGGAAATTAAATTGTATTATTATGGCGAGACATTCGTTGCTCGCCATTTTTGTTGTACATTGTTGGCTGCCGGTGTGTCGCATTATTTAGGCTGGCAGCCTGCCCGCCACACACACACACACAGAAACGGGACGGGCAAGCGGCAGGGCGGGCGGTGGCTTTAGTTGGCAGGCTGGCAAAATTGTTGGCGTTTGTCATTATTTCAATTTTATAACGAGAGTGGCGCCCCTTGCGAACCGCGCTTTAATTGAACCTGCGTCGGTCCCTCCCCACCCCCCTCCAGGTGTTGACTTTGAACCCACCAGAAAAACACAAAATAACACGCCGTACATGCAATGCGCTCATTACATTAGACAACAGCACAACCCACTCCACTTCGCTACACTCCAGTCCAGTCCAGTCCTGTCCAGCCCAACCCAACCCAAACCCATAACCCCCTATTGTGTGTCCTTGCTCCTCCTGCCTGCCGGCACCCTAGCCTAGTTGGACACACGGCGCACCCCTAAAAACCCGAGACACTCAAATTAAAATGGCATTTGACAAATTTTTGGGGCGCATTTATCAACTTATGTTAATTTTATGCCGCCCTTTCGCCTCCCTCTTCTCCTCCGGTTTCCCCTCGAGCCAGCGTCGGGTATGTTTATGGAAATTGCATTATCATTTGATTTAATGTTATGATTTTTATGCATATATTTATATTTTTATTTTGGGGAAGGTTAGTTGTATTATACATATATATATATATATATATATATTATACGATTTGACTTAAAATACTTCTCGTGAAAATTAGAATTTTTCAAGCACTTTTGTGTATGCCAATATTTTGTATTAATTTAAATAAAGCGAGTATTTTTTAATACTTCGTGTTCGTATAAAAATGATATTTAAAATAAAAACAAATTTTTTGAAATTAATCGCCAATTCGAATATTTATAATGTGCCAAAAATGATATGATAAACTATAACTAGTAAAGATACTCATTAAAAATTGCATTTCTACTCTACTCTAAATTAATTCTCCCCACTCCATCTATTCATCTATCTTGGACACAATCACAAACTTTTCACATGAACTTATTTCAAAGTTTTAAATCAACTCGTTTGCTATCTTTGACAGAATGTCCTTTGGCTGGTATCGTGCGGAAGTGATTGGTGCAATGGCCTCCGTATTTATGATCTGGGTCATCACTGGCATACTGGTTTGGCTAGCAATTGGACGACTCATTAGTGGAGATTTTGAAGTGAATGCCGAGATCATGCTGATCACATCGGGCCTGGCTATTTTGGTTAATGTCATGTAAGTACCGTTTTTGTGCACTAGCTGTCTAAATCTCTGTCTCTGTGTCTTGTCTGTCTTGTCTGTCTGGCTGTCTGGCTGTCTGTTTGACTGGTTGCCTGCAGTTTTGGCCCAAGCTCCCTTGGGCAGTTTTCCAATTGCAATTGCCGCAATCAACTTGTCCGGGAATGGGCCAGCAAATGGGTCAACAATGCAACTATCCTGGCACACAGTCAGCCGGGCAGCCAAGCAGCCAGGCCAGGGCATTCCGTATACCAAACATTCCGGCTATTCGAGGCGTATCCGCCAGTTGTTGCGGTAACTTTCTCCACATTTTAGCGACAACTTTTCTCTCCACAAAAGTTTCGAATTTTTTAGCGTCAACAAACGGCAAAAGCGACGCAAACGATGACTGCAACTACGGTGACGATTTTTGTTGCTTGTGTTTGTTTTTGTATTTGTGTTGGGCTACTCCCAAGGCGAAGCTCTTCTCCTCTCTTATTTTAGAGAGTTTAATAACTTTGCGATGTGATTTACCTGTCCGAAAAGTTGTAAACTAATTGAATTGAAAGTGGAACGTTTTGCTTTCATATTTTGTTTAGCCCTTTAAATTATTTCGATCAGCAATTTTATAACACTCTTCCAATATCTCGGGCCTAGTTCAGTTATGCTTTACAAATTAGTTACAGACTTTTACATTTTAATATTTTAGCATATAAGATAATATTTTTTGAGAAATCTTTGACTGAAAATGCTGTTAAATAGATTTAGAAAACTTTTGAGAGGCTAAGAAAAGTAACGCTTTATTTTGTTTTATTTTTACTTGCATGTTTTTACTTGCAGTGAATTTATTTTAAATAATTTTTATCAAAAGTCTGAAAAAAACATTTAAAATATAAACATTTTATTGTGGTATTATTCTGTTAATTGAAGAATGCCAACTGTTATCGATTTTCGACTAACTTTTTAAGTGATTCGAGTGGCTCAAAAAATTCATCAATTGCAGTTTTCTGATTGACTCAATTGCTAAACAAATTCTTTAAATATTCCATGGTTGAAAATAGGAAAACACATATGTTCCCAGCTTTAATGTGTTAATTTGGCTTATTGAAGAAAAAAAGCATTTATCGATTTTCAATAGACTTTATACATTTTTTAAGTGGTTTTAAACAAAATCAGTTTTCTGATTGATTGTTTTGATGCTCGCCACTTGAAATTGAAATTGTTCGCTTAATCGAAATAGAGTGTTTCATGTTCGTCGGATATTTCAAAGTTTGTTTGCCTTCGCTTGTTTTGATTGCGTCGTATGCAGCACCTGCAACTGTAGCTGCCACCTTGGTCTGCCCCCGCTCCCCCCTCCGCATATGCTCCCGTTCTTTCTAGTGCTTGTTCATGTGGCTGTCGAAGCATAGTTTTTGGCGCATAAATCGAAACGTTTCAATGCTCGGCACATGCTCCTCCTAGTGTGTGTGTGTGTGTATGTGTTGTACGTCCTTTCGTTCTTCTTTTGGATGCTATCGTTGTTGTTGTTGTTGGTAGTAGCGCAAATTTTCCAGTTGACGTTGGCATTTTCAGTGTTTGCCACTTGAATTGTTTGATTACGTGAATTGATTGTGAAAAACGTGCAGCGGCAGCAACAGCAACTTTTCCAAGTGATTTTTTGCGCGCACTCCAAGGGACGAGAGGTCCTGGCAGTTGACCAGTAGGGTCAGCGTACCAGCAAAGGTTTGGGCGGGGAGAGAGAGAGAGAGGAGATGGGGGGGGGGGGGTCATCTTTTCCCATCAGCAAAGAAAGTCAAGTCAACGCTGAGGCTTGAGCTGTCCGAACGTGTTTGGCTGCACATCGAACAGCGATATTAAATGGCCACCTTTTTGCCGTTATGCGATCTCATTGTTTCAATTGATGTTGCATGTTACCGTGTAAAGGGAAAAGGAAGTGGCTAAGCAGAGGCTATGTTGAAGTTGTGTAACAGGTGATATGCAACTGAGAATTTATCAGATTTGTTTTTAGTTTAAGTTAGTTTATATATAATAACTACAAATAATTATCAAAATAGTTGATGTGATCTTGATTTTATTTTGAACTGCAACATGTTTGCTTGTATTTAAATCTGTGTTTGAATTAACTAACTCTTAGCAGCAATATCAATATAATAAATCATTAAATTGTTATTGTTAAAAAGAAGTCTACACTCTTAAGTGATTTTGTATCATTTTTAACAATTAGATCGATTTACTTAAGTGTGTGCAACTTCACCTTTTAATCGTGTGCTACGTTTCATTTTACTATTGTTTGCTTGCATAGTCAACTTATTATCGACTGAAGAACTACTCATAATAGTTATTATTGTTCTATCAGAGAATCCTTTTTAAAGTCTTTTTAGTTAGTTTAATTTAGAAGTTTGCTTGAGTTTTAAGTTCAATTAGCAAAATCCAGCAGCAAAGCAGCAACTTTTGCGCGTAGCTCTTGTTGGATTTAGCTGAAGCCTCTATGGAACGGCAGCTTAAAGCGGCAACCTCGGCGACTCCACATCGTTAAAAACAGCCATTAGGAACGCATATACACACATACACAAGCACACACACACACACACATTAGCACACACTCACTCACACATACACATGGACTCTCTCTTTCTCTTACGCATTCACACAAAAGCGTGGCTAGAACCGTAAATGGCAGGTGGGACATTAGCGCAACCAGCTGAAATATGAGAATGATGATGAGGTGGGTGTGTTGAGTTAGAGTAAAAGGGGGTTGGGGTGGGTTGGGGTGGGGTGGGTGTCGTGGAGGAGAAGCGTAACAAAAAGTGTGGCTAACAAAGTGGGTTTTGCACAATTTAGAGCGTCGACACTTTGGGTTAGTTGATATAATTGAGATCTCAATTTGATTATAAAATACGAAGCGAACGCAGATTACGTTGACTGAGTGAAAGTGATCTATTAGCTCCAGATCAGTGAAATTCTTTTTGATGCATTACACTTGGGGAAACGGGGCTTCCACGACATGAAGTACTTGCCAAAGTTTATTTTTTATGAATGAGCATTATAGAATGGATAAGAATCGTGTGGCGGATCAGTCAGCAACATTATGTGCTAGAATCTAGTGGAAGATGTGTGCTGTGAATTGATTATTTAAAGTAATTCTCGCTTGTCTCTGCTCACCTTCTTTGTCAAGATCTCAAATTTTAACAGCTTAAAAATAAAGTCAAAAAATGCATTTTCAAGACAAGAAAATCTTTGAGATTCTTGAGTAGCTTAAATACTAAACAGAGTCTGTCTTTTAAATTAAATTTGAACAGCGAAAAACTAGAAATACATATTTTATTTAAAATAGTTGACGTCTTATTTTTTGCTAATTGGTTTTATAAAGAACTTCATAGAATCTGTACCAAAGTAGTTTAATAAAATATTTTTCGCTGTATTTGAGCACTCTATTAATCATTGTTCTAGAATCTAGAATAGATCTAGATAAGCTCATATCAGCACTTTTTAGATAATAATATCTTACCATGGCTATTCAAAGTTAAATGATATATAAAAACATTGTGAATTATTTTTATTGACGTTGAAGCGTACTGAAAAACAGTTTATCAATATCAATTGCAAAACGTTGAAAGTTGTTAAATAAATCAATTAATTGAAGCGCTTAACTAATTAAAGATTTAAACTGATTCGCAAGTGGAATTAATTAACATTGATTTAAGCCTCAAAAGTGAATCAATGCATTTAAATAGTTTTTACGTGTATCAATTGATGAAAACTCTTTTTGATATTTGTTTGGTTGATTTGCACTAGCTGATTGGTTGGTTGGTTGGTTGTCGAATGGAGTGGACGAGGTGTGTGTACCACAATGCGGGGCAAGTAAATAACAGCACTCGGTTGTAAAATGTGCATTAAGAGGAGCGTAATAAACGTGGCCCATCGTCGGTTCCATGGGGCGACAGCTTAACGAGCTGCTCAGCCGGTTGACATGCTCCGACATTCCGCCGTACCGCGTGGCCCAGTCACATACACTCCGAGGGAGCGAGCGGGATAGAAGTGTGCGGTTGGGTATGGGTTAGAGACAGCCCAAGATATTCGCTAATATTTATGTTCCTGTCAATTAAATCAGGACATGTTGCTTGGCGCAAGTTGCCATTGCCATTGCCAGTGCTAGGGAGCTTGCTGCTGCCTGCCTGCTATTCGCCCGTCCTTCCGTCCGTCCCTCCGTCCGTCCGTCCGTCCGACTGTACTGTTTGTCCATGCTGGTCCTGGTGCTGTTGCTAGTGTTGGCGTTGTCATGGCTGCTGTCGTTTGTTGGCCACTAACGAGGCGAGTAAAGATGCCGCAAAATCAAGGGAAATGCTTCATTGCGCGCTACAAATTACAGCGACGCAGTGTGGCACAACAATGGGGCGCCAAATGGTTGGAGCGAGACAGATGACTAGGAATCTACCAACAGCAGCACCACCACCACCATCATCACCGTCACCGTCACCACCACCAACAGCAGCATTGGCATTTTTTGCGCTCGAGGACACACACGCAGCGTCTCGCTAAAAGCTGGAAGCAGCGCTTTGGCCGCGTCCTGCAAAATGCCTTGGCAATCGGATGTTCAAAGTCAAAAAGCGTATGTGCTCCGCATTGAATCCAGCTCCCAGGACCTTCATGCAGCCAATGCTCTTTTTCTTGTTGTTGTTCTTGCTGTTGTTGTTGCTGTTGTTGACCGCGTGACGGGTGGTAGCCACAGCTGCGAAGACCATGAGTACACAACTACACTCAGAAACAAAATGTGACCTGAAAGATAGAATATTTTTCGACAAAATGAATTTCTTTCAATTATTAACAGCTCCAAAATGATTTTAATTAATTTATGTAAGAAAAATTTGGTTTTTCAAATTTTATATTTTGTATATAAATTTCATAAAACTTAAACGATTTCCCCCAAATTGACTAACCTGAAATTGTACCTAATTTAGGTTAAAAGAAGAGCGTTTCCAAATATCTCAAATTATTTCTCTTAGTAGTAAGTAGAATTTTAAAATCATTCTTACCAAATTAAGAATTGTTTGTGTCACAGCAAAATTATGAATTAGAAATTGTAAATTCAGAATCGAGAAAAATCTACATTGTGATCATAAAATGAAATCATCAGGTTTTTCCAAATTGTAGGCTGATTATTTTTCCGAGTGTGGGCGAGCAGAAGAAAGGCAACGAGAAACAGGGACAGTAACTAAAGCCCTGCCTGCTCTGTACAATTTATTTAGTGCCCATCAACGCGTCGTTCGCTTGCGCTGCGACCGAATCTCAGCAGCAAAGAAGGGTGGAGTGAGGTGCTTTATTATATGTAACCATGTAGAGGATATTATAATTTTGTGGTCAAGTATGTGACGCATCAAAGGAGACGTCTTCGATCACATAGAGTATGTGTATTTTTAATTACCATTAGCAGTGTCCGGGAATTACATAAAACAGAGCCGACTGCATTGAATCGCTCATCGAATATCATACAGCATAATTACTTCAGTATTGGTTGAAAGATGCGCTCGTGCTATTTCCTGATATCCTGGCCAAACTTACTCGACATAAAAAATGATCAGCGTCGTACTTCTATAAATTAAATTAGTGATACCAGGCATTTTTAATGATATCAAGGGCATGCAATCTTCGGCGCGCCCAGAAAGTCGTCCTTTCTTGTTTTTTTTTCTTGTGTTTCTTTTTGTTGTTTTGACAAATTATGGCCGCATTTGGCGTGCCTGGTCTTAGAAATTGAAAATGAAATTGACTTGTCAGGCTAACAAGCTCAGGTTCAGTAGATACTCGTAACTCTCAAGTGGCCCGAATTCAAGCATATAAAAATGAAGAAACACAGACTCAGCAACGAAATAAAATGAAATGTTTTGCAAATGCTATTTGCAATATATGTTTTTGAAGCGCTTATTAAAGTCAAGCTCAGAGCCCCTTTAACAATTGCATATGCAAGAAAATTATTTGGAATTAGGAATTCGAAAAGAAGTAGTATTATCAAAATATAAACTAAATAATAATACATTTTTTGAACTCCAGACTGGACTTTAAGGTTGACGTTCGTTTGTTTACTGTTGGCGCAGAGAGTGCTGTGCATATTGTTATCTGTCTGCCTGGTTGACGAACTGTTTCATTTGAGATTTGGGGTATTCACTTTCAATCCCCAGCAGTCATTTGTTTTGATTGCACGCTGGTATCTTTGGGTCAACTGTGCCGTCACGTCAATTAGCCGCAAATCGACATCGTTCACGCTGTCCACATTGCTGTGTGTGTGTATGTGTGTGTTTGTGTGTGTTTGTGTGTTATGTAAGTGTGTGTGTGTCTGTGTATTACCATTGGCCTGTGCGTAATTTATGCCAGTTTATTTATTGATGCCCGGCCTGGAGAGTTGCATTGTTTTCCAAAAAAGCCGGCTAAGTGCAGTTGGCGTAGAGCTGCACGCACACATACAAGCAGACACACACACACACACACACAGATGCATACACACATATACGAACGACAGCCACAGCCAGCCAGTCCACTGGTCGAAGGGGCTTTTGGTCTTTTGGTCTTTTTACCCCAAAAATAGAAAACCCATAAATCTGCAATGTCGGAGCATTTAAAATGAATAAAAAGTCAATGTGCCGAGCTATTAACTGCCTGATGCATGCCAGCCAACAAGCCTGATGTGGAAGGAGGGGTGTAGCTGAGGGGACTAAGGGACCAATATTGCAGCTGGGCAATGTGTGGATTGGGTTGGGGGTGGGTGAGGGATTGGGAGGAGGATGGCTGGTCAAAGCAACCGGTCTCCATTTTCAACAATACATTTGTATTTGCATGCAGCGGTGCATCCGGACACACAGCAGCGAGTCGAACGGACTGACGGACTGACGGACGGACGGACGGACGGACCTAGTCGAATGGGCGGTCGAGCGGTTCGCACACCTTCCGGTACACAGAGCACTAGCCCACGGGGCAACAGTGTGCCAAATTCGAAAGTTTTGTGAAGTTTCGATTTAATTTCTATATTTAATTTCTATTTTAGCTACACTCAGAAATTGCAGTAAATTAAAATATAACTACAGCCCTGAATTTTAGAAAGTCGTCCAGAAAACTACAGTTTCTCGGTATTCACAAATAATTTCTTATTTATTAATGATAGAAAGTATTTCTAAAAGAAAGACGTAATTTGTGTACACATATAAAAGAAACACTCCGGAAACTAGAAATATACTTCTAAATTTTCGAAAAATGCACCTTAAATAACAGAAAATTCAGTGTGCTTTTTCCGAGTGTGTTTAAGAGTATTAAAAATTTTGGAGTACATTTTAATTCTCTCGATTTCTACTGACTTTGATTGCAATGCTTTATTTAACGGCCGATGAAGAAACATTTTTCAGTTTTCACTGCATTTTTACAATTTTTAGCTGTCAATTAATTTCCAGTGTCACTATGGAAAGTTATTTTGGAATATCAATAGAAAAATATATATATTTTTGATGCCACTGTGCACAGTGAGTTGTGTTTGTTTGTTTGAGTGTGCAGCGGCTGCTACATTAAAATGTTGAAATAAAATGCCAAACAATGCAAAAGCGTCGGCCGCATGCCCAAAAATAGTTTTTGTGTGTGGGTTTTTGTTCTTTTCGTTTATGTTTTGCGGCCGAACAATCGTGGCCATGAAGCATGCAGGCAGCTACAGTTGTGGCTGGTATATAGGCATACCTAGGATGTAAGGGGTGCGCTGGTTGGGGTTTGCGACTGGTCTGCCACATTTTCAAGTATATTAAATATTTTTGACAGCGTTTTCAATTTCGATAACCATTTTCGCAATTCTTCTCATCCGCACGCAGCATGGGCGTACAGCTGCAGCATGGCCACTCCCACGGCCTTGGCGGTGGTCACAGCCACGGCGGATCAAAGAGCGGAAAGACATCCAAGAAGGTCACAGCTCATGTGAATGCCACATCGACGCCTTGCGCCGCCTCGCCGACGAGGCGCATTGAAGGCGGCATCGCCTTCGAACCAGAGGATGCGGAACTTCCTGGCGCAGGGCTGCCCAGTTACTCGTATCAGAATGCCAAGCTGGTGGATACCGGACTGGATCTGGAAATAGCCGCCGTCCTGGCGGAAACCGCCCCGGGCGCCCATCATCATGGTGGTCAGACTGGTCGCGAGGCAGTTAACATGAATGTGCGGGCCGCTTTCATTCACGTAATTGGCGATGTTATCCAGAGTGTGGGCGTCTTTTTGGCCGCCGGTGTGATCTACTTTTGGCCAGAATACGCAATTGTCGATCCGATTTGCACATTCATCTTTTCCATTATCGTGCTCTTCACCACGTTTACAATTATGAAAGATGCGCTGCTGGTGAGTAAATCTTGCAGTTTCACTCAATTTTTGATTGACAATCAATTTTAGACAATATTAAATAAACACTTGTATGGACTTTTAGATATATTTAGTTGAACAAATTGGAAATTAAATTGAATTCTTATGCTAAAAAAGATCAGACTCAGACTCAGGAAGCGAAATAAAATGAAATATTTTGCAATTATTTATTTTTTATTCAGTTTCCTCGGTATTTTATTTTTACATTTGTGGCGCAGAAAGTTTAGTTTTTAAAAAGTTGTACGAACACTTAATGAAATGCCTTAATTTGACTAACTATTTTTGTTTAAATTTAAAATTTAAGTCTGCTTTTCGAATAATAGAACTCATGGATAAACTGAACAATAACAATTGAGGTTCTCTATTCATTCATTGTACTGCATATTTATTTTAATCCAAAGTTAAAGATTCATTTAAAAAAATAGTTTTTATTCAGTTTTGAAATTGAACCATGCCATTCAAACTTTGCCTTGAATAGCATTTTGTATAAAGCATTGTATACCATTCAATTCAATATCAACGTTTGCAAATGCAAAAAGTTATTCAATTTTTATGCTACTGCAAAAGTGAATGAAAATTTGATGAAGCTAAAGACTGATAAGATTATTGTTAATGGAAATTGACTCTGAAGTAATAAATTATATTTCTAGACTAATTAAAAGTGAACTTTAATAAATATTGATTATTTGACATTTGTATGTTAAAAATTCATAAAATGTGTATGATATTTTGAACAATAAAGGCTAGTTGCGAGTTTGCTATAACTATTAAATGTGTTTGTTTGGTTGACATAACACCAAAAATCTCGAATAAAATTGACCAGCAAATTTATATTAATAAATGTTAAAAGTGTAATTTGCATTTTAGTTTCTGTTAGAATTAGGATGTTTTAATGTTTTAATTAGTGCCAGATTTCAGTACAATTGTACAAATTGTATTTAACTTGAACAAATATTTACAATTGTAAATAAAATTATTATTATTATCCTTTCATTAGTTAGTCAAGTTAGTGGAACATTTAAAATGTGTTTTATATTATTGAATGGAATTTAATTTTGATTGCAAACCCTTTATCCAAGCTTATATAGCTGAATAACATTCTATATTTGTTATTTGTAGGTACTGATGGAGGGTACTCCCAACTATATGCATTATGAGGAGGTTCTGCAGATATTTCAGCGCATCGAAGGCGTCGAGCGTGTACACAATTTACGCATCTGGGCGCTGAGCATTAATAAAGTGGCGCTATCTGTACATTTGGCAATTGGTGAGTAGCCGCCGGGTATCAACATATAAGTGGGGGGGGCTTTACTATCTACATGTGTTTTCATTTCCCTGTCTCTCTCTCTCTCATTCTGTTTGTGTGTGTGTGTGTGTGTACTCTGCATGGTAATTATCCCAATGGATCCACGGATGTTGTTTTTGTTTGCTGTGTTGTTGTTTGTTGTGTGTTGGGTTAGCCGCATTGCTTCATGTCCACGGCAAGCGCAAGCAATTAGGTTAATTATTTTTGAAATGGCTTTTTAAGCGTGGCCAATTTCAACAGGGCGACGACCATCAATGTTATCAGCATTGTCGTATTCGCTAATCGTTGCTCACTCTTAACTAACCCAACCCGTTTCATTTTTTTTGTTTTGCAGGAGACACTGCCAATGCTAAACAGATACTCGATGCGGCTACTTCGGCGGTACATTTGCGCTACAATTTCTTTGAGACGACCATACAAATCGAGGACTATACGACCCAAATGGAAAACTGCAACCAGTGCTCGGTGCCGGCCAAGTGACACACATAAGCAAAGCAACCCAATTGCAGTTCATTCAATTTCATTGGCCAATTACAAAATTAGCACCTAAAGACCACATCCACATGCGCATGTTATTTACTATTAACAGCGTACATTCGATAACAAAAATGTATGTGTATCTATCTAGCGATAATCACCCACCATCCTGCAACATCATGCATCATCCACTTTTCCGCCCATCCGCCCCAGCAATTTAAAGTGCAAACAAATGCTGTGTTCAGCCATCACAACTTGGTTAGGCCAGACAAGATAACGATCCTAAACATAATGCCCCACGTTTTCCGTCACGCGTCACATAATTTTAACATTTTGTCATATTTTCAAACACAGTGGTTCTATCTAATTTGTTGCATAACACAAATTAGAAATACTTCAAATCAAATTTAATAAATGAAAGTCTGATGTGTGTGTAAAAACCATTACAGAATATATTTAATATTGTGTTTCATTTTTATTTGTTCCCATCATGGATATCAATTAAATAAATAATAATAATAACTGGAATTAAAAATGGTAATACGAAAATGTAACAAGTATACTAGCCACATATACATATACAATATCGATAGATATCATAATAAACATTATGGAATTTACATTAGTTTTAGCTGCTCCAAATATCAGATACAAATTAACTATAGCTAAAATCTGCACTTGTCTTATCTTTATAAATATATTATATAACTTTCAACTTTCAGGACATTTAGCAACAAAGTAGTTATAAGCTTCATCTATGGCTTATATCAGGGGTCTAAATATCACTGGTTTATATTCTTATTTATATTTGACTATCAGCAGCAGTATCTTTAAATGAAATACATATTTGTGCTCCATAAATAGTTTAAGAAATTTATGTAGAGCGGCCCATACAGAAACTGTATTTGGCTTAGATAAGGGAAATGCAGCTTCCTTTTTGAAATTTCAATGTGATTTCCAAGTGAATTCTTAGTCTACAGTGTCGTTTTGGATGTAAATTGCTTAAGTCATTTCTGATTTCTGCATGTAATTATAAGATATGCATTATTGTTTATATAAATTAACATAAATACAGCTTAGCATATGCTGCTTGATTGTCATTTGTCGAACAATTTGAAAACGCAATCGTTCGCTTTCACTTTGCTTTGCACTGCTTTTGACACCAGTGTACATTAGTAGTAAAATATTTGTGTGTATGTGATGGAAATGTTGCAAGAGTTCGATGCGTTGGCGATATGCAAACACGCATAAAAGTTATTAAGCTGCCGGCAGCGTTGCACAAAATTTGCATCAGACAGGCACACACACACACACACACACACACACAGAGGTAGGCAGGCACGCAAACTAGGTGTCCTGCTGCACAAGCCATCTCTCTATATATGCATAGCATACCGCTAATACCAATTTATGAAGCGGGCAGCTAAGCTGGCCACATCGACTCACCTGGCCAACAACCTGACCGAACCTGACCGCAGTCCCCACGAAAAGCCTGTGCATAATTTGACATTGCGTAAGCGTCAAACGCCGACGACGCTGGCGGCGCTTGAAATTATGTTTGAATTCGTGGCCAACAAACAAGGTTGCCCCCCGTTCAACGTTTCCCTAATCGGCGTCAATTTGTTGACAGCTTTGTATGCTTCAAGCGTGCCTGGAGGTGGCAATGCCACCGCAATTCTTAGTCAGCTCCAACACTCGCACACTCACACACACACCCCTCTTATAAACTTGTTGTCTTGGCCAAAAAACTGCAGTAATCATCATTCAGAGTCCGAGTAGCGGTTTGGGGCAGAGAGACCCGGCGAGTCGACGCAGGCGCAGTTTGACAAGTGCTAAAATGAGAGCGCAAGGATAGTGGAATATTTAGGAATTTTAGTTCATGTGAGTGAGAAACTCACTCGTTGCGGCTTTCGAGTTTGGGTGCCACTTGACCCGCAGTCGACAGCAACTGTGCATCATCGCTGCGTCAGAAATGCACGCCACAACGTCAACACAGACGTAGGCCGAGCGCCTAGCCTTAAGTTATTAGCTGCTAAAGCGGCACTGCTAACTAACCTTGACCCACACAAATGTAATGCAATGTCCTTTGAAATTAGGCGCACACAGAGCCCCACACAGGCATCATATTATTTGCCTACACTAATATTAAATGTTTCAATTAGTCGAAGTCATTAGCCAAATAGATGCCGTTAACACATTGCGGCCAAAGCTCGTAACGGGAGCTCAAAGCTAAACCAGGATCAAAAGCAGCCCGCAGCGCACTTTGGCAATGTGCGTTTATATGTATGTGTGCGTGTTTGTGTGTGTCTGTGTGTGTGTCTGTGTGTGTGTGTGTGTGTGTGTGTGTGTGTGTGTGTGTGTGTCTGTGTGTGTGTGCAAATGTTTGTTTATATTCGTTTTTGAGCGCTTAGAAAGTTATTAAATACGCAAAACACTCAACATTTATAACTAATTAAAAGGGAACTTTGACGTACAATATGCTCTTTTAACTTGGTTATAACTGAGTCGTTATATATATTTTATATATTACCTTATTATAAATGTTGTTAAGATTAATGTTGCATATAAATTCATTTTATTTTAATTACAACTATTTTATATTTCTCTTAAGTAATTTTAAATATTTGGTTCAAGATATCCGCAATCAAATTCACCAGCTTTAAGTCTACTTAGTTTCAAATTTTTTGGTATTTTTCCATGCTTCCAGTCAAGTTTTAGTTTATAGACTCTAATAAATTTCGGGATTCGTCTTCATGGATAATAAAAAGATTTAACCGAGAGCCCACCAAAAACATATTTAAAGTTATTTATTTTTAATTTCACTTAAATTAATTTATAACTTTTTATATTCTTCTGTATCGACATTTCTTAGACGACATTAAATAGGAGTTTTTTCCTATGTTAAAACAATTTATCAACATCGCGCTACTAAATATTATATAACTCTAAATTATAATACTTAATTTTCTAAATTTCTTTATGAATTACTCAATTTAGTTAATAAAAGTGGGAATGCGCTCTGCAAGGGTATGTATTATATATATGTGCAACATATATTTTACTGCCTTTTAAAACTTAATAGCAATCAAAAGGGGTCACGACGACCAAATTCGGTTGCCATGTTGTCCGCTTAATGTTAACTCATCTATGAGACAATTACATGGAAAATCTGACTGCGAAACAATGCGCCAAAAAGTTGAACACTTTCGCGGACGAAGGCTCTGATTGCCATTTACCCATTCTTCAGTCGCACTTCGACTTTGCCATTTCTTATCTGCTTGCTTTGCATTTTGGCAAGAGTTTCAGCAATGTTTTCAATACCAACTTGCATTCAGCCCCAGTTGCGCAGTCGACGTCGACGTCGGCATATCCGTTGACGTCCAATATCGTCGCTGCTCATTAAAAACTTTCAGGCAGTTCGAACTTTGCACCAGATAAACAACAGCAACAGCAACAACAAAAATTGACAAAATTATAAATGCATAATGAAATTTTGAAGCTGTTTACTACATCATTTTTACTATTCCCTATTAAAAATGCATTCCAATTAACAAATTTTTAAGCGACGTGGAAAAGTAGAAGTATTGCGAGTATTATAAAAGCAGTTAATAATATGTAGTTGATGTATATAGACATGAATTAGGTTGATAAGCTGAATAGATATAGCCAAGTATTAGGCGAATTGTTCAATGTAAGCTCGATTTTTGCCTTCAATCAGTAATCTTATCAGAAATTATTTTAATTATTTTATAAATTAACAATTATGTTTATTTTTTTAATTTAATTATACTTGTCAAACTTTTATTTCTAAGTGTATTATTTTGTGTAATATTACTTAATGATTTTCAGTTATTTTGTATGTAAAATGTATATATACAAATATAAATATTTATTTTATTTCTGTTCAGAGAACTTTTTCTCGATTTGTTATTATTTGAGTTCGAGGAACTTTTCCTCGGTTTCATTATGATACATTTTAAATATTCTATTTTCTTTTGTTCTTTTTATATTTTTTTTTTATATTTTCTTCTGTATATTTATAAGTTAAATTATGGCTTGGTAAATTTCCTTAATCTATGGCTATATTTAAAGCTAAATATTCAGTAAACGCGACGCATGCATTGTACTATTTGCAATTCCATTCGCAGTGACCTCTGCCCCGCCTGCCCGCCTGCCCGCCCAGCTGGTATCCCTTACAGTTGTCACGGCTTCCTTTTATAGACAAATATTGCGCGCAGGCATGTGCCTGGCGGTCTGGCACTTTCCCCAGCTACATTGGGCCGCGAATACGTTTGTTTTTCCGTTTTTTCCTTTTTTTTTTCGCTTTTTTAATTTTTTGTTGCTATTTTTTTTTTTTTTTACTGCCTGTCCCAAAGGGGTTCTGGCAACTTGCCTGTGGCGCTCTTTGCACTGCATGGAAATGTCGCGGCTTTCTGTCTTTCGCTTTTATTTTTGCTGATGCTGTTGTTCATGTTGTTGTTTTTGTTATTTAACATGGCAGTGGTCAGTTACGGGTCTGGTTCCATGGGCATTCGGTTATATTGAAAAATTTGAATGCTAGTAAAAACTTTTAATTGTCGCTGGTCAACGACGCGTCGACGTTGACGTCGTCGTCGTCGTCACATGTTGGCCAGGACATTTAAATGGCGCCGTTGCCTGTTATTGTTAACAATATTTTTCAATGCAATTTTCCCTTGATTAAAATATGCAATGAAATGTTTTCCGGCATTGTACACTCGATCTACTCTTATTTCTATCTCTCGCAAATTATGTGCAAAATTTAATTCTTATGGTTTACCAACTTGACCAAAAGCGGCTTAAAAAGTTTCTACTTTATTTAATCAGAGTGACAGCTGCTATTCCTATGCTATTTGTGTTGGCAACTCATTCGTATTTGATTTATTTCTGGAAAATATATTTAATTAAAGTTCTTGACAAAAATAGAAAATTCATTTTCTATGATTTCTGTACAGATAATTAAATTACCAAAACTTGATTGCTCAATCAGTATACTAAATAATGTTTTATTTAGTTATTGTCCTCAAGCAACTTTTTATAAGCAAGTCACTTTCGATCCTAACACATCTATTTAAATTAACACTTATTTAGTTATTCAAATACATTATTCTTCCTTGCATCATAAGATTTGACTATGTATTATCAATCTTATATTAAACAATATTATTTATTAGCAATCTGTTTCCATCAATTCAATATTATTATTTATTTGTTGAGTCAATTTGAATATTTTTGCCGTGGTCTTCTTTGTTCTCTGTCAAATAAATGTTTTATATGATTTCAATAGGCCGATCAATATTTTCAATATAAATGTCATAAAAAAGGGGCCTCAAAGTATAACGAAAGTTTAGATTAATAAATTGGTTAATTAAATAGACGAAGGATAAATTATAAATTTAGTTTTGCATAATAGATAATAGATGAATAGTAAATAAATTTA